GGGTCATGGTGGATAATCATCTTCCAGTAAGATTCGGTGGTCAAAAGGGCTACTGTGATCCTGGGATGCATAAATGGGAATCTTAAGTACAAGGAGAGAGGTTTTCACCTCTGTGTTTGGCGCTGGTGCGACTACTGCTGGAATCCTGTGTCCAGTTCTGGTGTCTACAATTCAAGGATGTTCATAAATCAGAGAAGAGCCACAAGAAGATTAAAGGATTAGAAAAGCTGCCTTCTAGAGATAGACTCAAGGAGCTCAATCTAGTTAGCTTAATAAAGGAAAGGTTCGGGGAGACTTGATCACAATCTATACACAGTTACATGGGGAACAAATATTTAATAATGGGCTCTTCCATCTTTCAGAGAAGAGTCTAATATGATCCAATGGCTGAAAGTTGAAGCTAGACAAATTCAGACAGGAAATAAGGTGTAAATTTTTAACAGCAAGAGTAATTAACCAGTGGAACAATTTACCTTACTGCCATTAGAGGAATGCAACCCTAGAATATCCCAACATCCTACAGAATATCCCAGGGCTGTAGTGGAATTAGAAAAAATGTCTGATGTTGTTTATTCACTCCCACCCCTCCAGGTGGAATTCATTGAATTCTGCTAATGTGAGGCTGATAGTTTCCCCAGAGAGAATATTACATTTTTAGAGTAGCACTAGGTCTGGGAAATCACAGCATGGCATGTGGGTAAATAATCTGTGGTATCAGAGTCAGTCATCGACAATCAGTGGCCGAACTCAATCCATTTAGATTTTCCAGGAGCGGAAGATAAAGAGAGATGAGGCAAGAGTATTGCATGCAGCAGAAGAGCTTCTGATTGTAGCCTGGTTAGCGTCTACTCAGAGAAGAAGGAAAACCCAGTGATTACTTCAAGCAAAGATTGAGTTGAACTTCGCAGCCTGGTTAGATCTAACAGGACAGCCGCAAGGAGTGACGGGTTAGCCAGAGAATGGCTGACTCGCTGGACTGTCCTTAATTTGATCATGTATCCTAATTGCACAAGTCAATGGCTCGAGGGCAAAAAGAAATACGAGATGAGACAACTCATCAGCCACTGAGAAAAAAATAAGGAGCTCTTAGGCCACCAATAAAACTCCTTGAAGAGGCGATGGGCATACCCGCAAAACATGTCCGAGGCATGAGGCCAAATTCAAACCACTATAAACCCCCAAATGGAGAGATCCAGGATAGATCAAAGGGATGAGAATAGAGCTGGGGGAACTGGATTTTCTGTTTCAAGGAAAAGTCTGCGATTTCAACCCATTTTTTGTTCAGAATTGGAACAAAACCAAAAATGTTCCAAATCTCCCGTGAAACAAAATTCTGACTTGTGTGGGGGCCGGAGGAGGGGTGGTGGTGACAGAGTGCTGGGAATCAGCCACTGACACAGCACTCTGGTTACTGTTTAACCCATGTGTCCCCCCAGGGAGGGTCTGGTTAAGGAGAGGAATTTCTGATTATGGGATCAGATTGAGGTGGAAGTAGCTATTGAGTTCAGTAACACCGAGACTGGATAAAAGAGCACAGGAAGGAAGGGAGAGGGAGGGGGAGGATGCAGGAGAGAGATATAAAAGAAAAGGCTAAAAGGGCCTGTCAAAAGGGAGTGCTCTGAGAGAAGACGCTCCCCCCAGGGCCAGCTCCAGGCACCAGCTTACCAAGCAGGTGCTTGGGGTGGCCACTTTGGAGAGGGGCGGCACGTCCAGCTGTTCAGCGGCAATTCGGCGGATGGTCCCTCACTCCTGCTCGGTGCGAAGGACCTCCCGCCGAATTGCTGCCGCAGATCGCGATCATGGCTTTTTTTTTGTTTTTGTTTTTGTTTTTGTTTGGCTGCTTGGGGCGGCCAAAACCCTGGAGCCGGCCCTGGCTCCCCCCGCACTGCTTTTTGGAGAAGGGGGAGTAAAGTTGGGTAATATTGTAAATACTCTGATGGCACTCACGTGTGAAAGGCAGGCAAGTGAATCCCTGCAGATAAACGGCAGGGAAGGTCTCTGAGGGGCTGCACATAAAGGGTGGGCGCAGTGGGACCCTGTCACAGTGGGGGTTGATTGAAACCTTGCGTGTTGATAAAATGGAAACGTTTCTTGCTGATTACAACTTGTTTTTTGTTCGATTCAGGTGAGTAACTGAGCTCTGTGCTTCCCTGACCCGGGTGGAGCTGAGAAGTCAGGCCGGGGTGCTCACTGCAGCACTCCTTCTGGCACTGGCGTTTGACTGTGTTGTGTTTGGGTTTGTTCTGTTGTGCCATGCTCCAAGCAATGGGGTGGGGATGCTCCCTACGTAGGGTTCTTATTTAAAGTTGTTGTTGTGCTATATTGTAGCCTCCCCTTCTGTGTGCAGAGTGTGACAAAGTTCCTCCTCTACCTTGGTGGGTCCTGGGCTTATTGGCGGATTTGCTCGCTTCACCCTGTGGGTCAGGAAACAGTCCTGAGACCTTCCCCTCTGATAGAAGCTATAGTCCAGGTCAATTCCTCCTGTGTTTGATCAGGAGTTGAGAGGTATGGGGGGAACCCAGGCCCGCCCTCTACTCCAGGTTCCAGCCCAGGGCCCTGTGGACTGCAGCTGTTTAGTGCCTCCTGGTACAGTTGCACGACACCTACTGGGCTACTTCCCCATGGCCTCCTCCCAACACTTTCTTTGTCCTCACCACCGGACCTTCCTCCTGATGTCTGATAACACTTGTACTTCTCAGTCCTCCAGCAGTATGCCTACTCACTCTCAGCTTCTTGCACACCTCTTGCTCCCAGTTCCTCCCACACACACACTTCCTCTCCTCTGGCTCCCTAACTCCCCCTGGCTTGACTGGAGTGAGCCCTTTTATAGCATCAGAGGGGCCTTAATTAGAGTCAGGTGCTTAATTGCCTCACCTGACTCTTAGCAGGTTAATTGGAGTGAGGTGGTCTATTAGCCTGGAGCAGCCCCTGCTCTGGTCACTCAGGGAACAGAAAACTACTTATCCAGTGGCCAGTATATCTCCCTTCTGCTACTCTGCTGTTCCCAACTGGTCTGGGTCTATCACAAGAGGGAACGGGGATCCAGTTAATCCCAACCCCAAGGCAGCACCTCCAGAAGAACCTCTCTCCCCTTCTCCTGACTCAATGGAAGCCCCTTTGCGGTGGCTCTCTGGGGCGCAGGATGGTTTGTGCTCAGGGTTGTCTGGAGGAGGCATTGTCCTCTCGCCAACCTCAAGGGAATTTGCTGTGCCTGTGACCCTCTAGAGATGGTCTGGGGCCAAAGCCCACAGGAGAGACCCTTCCAGAATGCTGATGAAGGCACCAGGGGACAAAGCCGGACTGGGAGCCATTGTACAGGGACAAGGCTTTTGGGTGGATGTCCCTGCCCTCTGCAGATTTCCCAACATCTGCACAGCTCCTGGGGGGTAGGATAAAGTGGGCACTAGTTTGGGAGGCCTAACCCTCTGCTGTTCCTGGTGGAACAGCCCTGTCTCTCAGCTCCTGGCATGAGAACTAGTAGCGATGAGAACTAGAACGGCAGCCTCACAAAGGGCCAGATCTTAGCCACATGGGAGCATGACCCCCCTCAAGTTCCCTTCAGAGAGTTTCTTTTGCACGCCTCTGTGGGAAGGGTTGGGTTTGCCCCCCACCAGAAGAGAGGAAGATTTAGGCCTGCTCCTTGGCAAGGCTGTGCCATTGGAACTGCTCTGCGAAGGGCTCCGTTGGGTCTGCCTGTCTCCAGGAGCCCCCTGGAAGTGGGGATCCCGCCCTAGGGAGGAGGATGTGTGCAAATGAAACTCAGTCTCTGGTGAACACCTCCAGCTCCCAGCCTGCCTGCATGCAAGCCCAGCAGACAGGCGAATATAGCTCTGAAGGCAGCTGACCCCTCCCCCCGCGTGCCAGTTTCCACCTGGGGGTGGGGAGATGCATGTGCAGAGACCCCCTCCGCATAGATCAAAAGGGGCCTGGTTTTCTATGGCTTCTCAAACCAGACGTTTTCCTCTTCTAAGCGATCCTTCCCTCCCACTGCTCGTGGCACAGGAAGTTACTGAATTCAGTGGCCATTTTCACAAAGCAAAGCAATTAGGCAGCGATACTGTAGCACCGAAATGAGAAGGAGTAGGTGGGTGCTCGTTAGCCTACTTGGAGCATGATTAATTTGTGGAGTTGAAAACAGAGCGAGTACAGCGCTCTGAAATCGCTGCTAATTAACAAAGCTGGGCAGAGGTTCTGAGCTCTGATTAGACCTGCCCAAAACTGAACGAGGCCCCTTGCAGCTGTGTGTTTTGGTTTTTTTGGCTTTGCATCTTCCTTTCCAAACCAGAGTCAAATCCCCACCCAGCAGTCCCTAGGGGGCTAGGCTTAGATTTTCACTCAGACACTTGGGGGGGCACTCTGCGGGTGGCATTGAGAACTGGCGTCACTGGTCTAGCCAAGAAAGGCATTGGCACAGTAGTCTTGGCACTGGTGCTATGGCATAGGCACTGAAAGCTGACATAGGCAGTCTGTGCATTCAGACCATGATGTACTAGCATCCTGGCATAAGGTCTCAGGATGCCAGCTCCGTAACACAGGGAGCATTGATCCTAGTGGCGCATGGACAGATTGATATTTAGCTCTTAGTATCGTGAGGATCAGGTGATAGCATCATGGATCTGGGCAGCAGCATCCTGGCATGGGTCTTGAACTGGGGCCCCGAGCTGTAGCATGACTGTGAATGAGAATTTCAGTGGCTTGCAGCCTGCTCAGTCTCTGGCAGTCGCTCTGGGAAGGGCTTCCATTATAAGCTTTCAGTAGAGTACCACACTTTCAGTCAGCAGCCTCACTGGCTGTAGTGCAGGACATTCTCCTGGTACCTGCAAAAGCTTGTCTCAGCTAGAAGTAGCTCATGTCACCATGGCAGGGTAACCTTTCCTGTCGTTAAAGGTTCCTCCCCTCATGTTTTCCCAACAGGCTGCAAGGAAATGCACCTGTGGGTCAGGTTTTAAGTGGTGCTGGCTCCCACCCTGCTACTGATGCTTTTCTTCTCCCTCCCTCAGAAACATGGAAAAAGGCTAACTGTCGCAGAGTGAGCCGTGAATGGTGTGCCCTCACTGGGGCCCCGGCCTGAGAGGACAACGGGCAGAGTCAATGGGAAGGCAGTGGGGTCTGTCTGCCAGTCGTCACGCTGCAGTCGGAAAGAAGGCTTCTAATGCCACTGGGACCCCCTGATGGAAGGTGAGCAGGGGCGTGAAAGGCGAGTGTGCATAACGATTGGGGCTGTCTCTCAGCAGAAGTTCGTCTTTGGGTTGTCACTGGTGGCAGCTGCCAGGGGTTGCTGTTGTGAGCCAAAAGGTAACCTTGCTTTCTGACTCCTGGGAAAAGATGGGGAGCTTTCTCTGACAAGATTTCCTTGGTGTGAAGGGGCCATTTTCAATGAAGATCTGTTTGGAAAAGATGAGGCTGCAAGGGGAAGGGTCTCCAGCCTGGTCTACACTAGAAAATTAGGTTTGTTTAACTACGTCGGTCAGGATGTGAAAAATCAACACCTCTGAGTGGTGGTGTTAAGCCGACCTAAGTCCCGTGTAGACAGCGCTAGGCTGATGGCAGAATTCCTCTGTTGACCTAGCTACCTCCTCTCAGGGAGGTGGATTAACTACAGTGACTGGAGAGCCCTTCCCATCGGTGTAAGTAGTGTCTACACTGAAGCACGGCTGTGCCACTGTAGTGTTTTAAGTGCAGACGAATCCTTCCTAGTTTGTCTTTTGAAAAGTGAGCCACACAATTTTTAACCCCTCAAAGGCTGGACCAGAGTTACCAGTATTGTGCCGGGATATATGGGATACATTCTCTCACAGCCTTTGTTCCATTCAGTATAGCTGGCCTATACAGTATCATGCAGTGCATAGGATGAGGGGTGGGGATTAATGACCACAAAAGGACACAAGTATGTTGCTATAAAGTCTTCTGATGTTGAAGCTGGCACCTGCAGAGCCCCTTTCTAATAGGCTGGTTCCTAAGGGACTTAGCTTAGGTGTCATTTCCTCTCCTAATGTAACCAAATATCCAAACGAGCCCCATTTTCCCTAACACCAAGTCCAGTTTAAATAAGAAGGAGATGTTCAGAACGTGGCCAGAGAGGTGAATTCATGTGACTGTCCAGCTTAACCAATCAGAAATGTGACAACAGCTGTGTTTGAAATGTCGTACCTTTCCCAGACGTGAAGAAGAGCTCTGTTGGTCTCTCTCACCAACAGAAGTCAGTCCAATAAAAGATATTGCCTCACCCTCCTTGTCTTTACAACAGCCATGGGAATTGTAAAACAATGAAGGACAACCTTTATATTTATGGAGGTGTCATTCAGACTGGGAGGCATATCTCAAATTGATCAGAGATTTTAAATGGAGGTGGAAATCCCAGGAAGATAAGACTTTCTAGTAAGATTTCTGGTGCTTCACTTTTTCACTAGGGATGAAATCTTCCCAGAATGATCTTTCTTATGGTATTTTGTGTTGCTTACTTTGTAATGAAAGAGGTGCCAGGGCTCAAGCAATTTTTTTACTTTCATAACTGATACAGCAAGCCCAGAGGTGCCGGGGCTATGAACTGCCAAGCCCAGAGGTGCCGGGGCTATGAACTGCCAAGTCTAGAGGTGCCAGGGCTCAGCCGTGGCACAAATTAAGCACCAGTATTTTGGCTTTTGGCCCAATCCAGGCTAAGCAGAAATGCCCAGAAATAGTTTGAGTTTGACGTGAGTTTTTGGTGAAAGCTCACATTGGCTGAAACTGATTTGCACAGCCCCATTGGGAAGCATTTGTATTTCTCAAGATTGTCCACTAAACCTTTCTCCCTTTGAGAAAGAGGTTTGATTGCCACCAATGCATTTGTATTTGGAATTTTTCTTCTAATGGATGAAGCAGAAATAATGGAGCATGAACTTAGTAGCTCAGCTGGTGTTGGACTTGGTTTGGGATTTTCTCACTGGCGCCGGATGGCTTCAGCCTAGTGTCTTGTTTGGACAGACCTAGTCAGTTTCAGTTTTATCTCCTTATGTATTTCATTTCTGGGCAGCATGTTCTGTTCATTATGGTGCAGAGTCTATACAGAGACTGCCTTGTCCAAGCAGTGCCTTGCCACAGCTGTGTGATCTCCAAGTAACCTGCCTATCACCCTTCCGTCTCCTGTCACCCCTGAACAATGCATCCTCAGCACATAGAAGATCCAGATACTGTCAGTGACTCCTCACACTCATCACCCCTCCCTTCTTCCTCACAGGGGTTTGGATCAACCGCTATCGGAAGCAGCTGGTGAGGTCCATCTCGTCGCAGTTCCTGGAAGAGATCATCTGCTACATGAGGAAGCTGGATCTCCTCAGTGCTGAGGAGGCAGGCCAGGTTCAGGAGGTGAGCTCCCTGTCGGAGCAGGTGAAGGCAGTCATGGATCTTCTGGCTGGAAAGGGCAGCTATGCCTCTCAGTCCCTACAGACTTACATAGAGACAACCAACTCCCAGCTCTATCTCCACATCACCGTCTATGGTAGGAGATGCTGTTCGTTGTCTTCAGTCTGTGTGCATGTGTGTCATAAAAGCCTCTCTGTGTGTGTGTGTGCACATGCGTCGGCATTGCATGCTAGCAGATGTGTACCTGTAGCATTCACAGAGCCAGGTGTACCCTGGGGAGCTTTGCCCGAGTAAGGACAAAAAAGGACCTCCGGGTCAGACCCCTGTTGATTAAGAGAGCCAACTAAGGACACTACCACTGAGACACTCAGACTCGAAGGTCAGAAGGGACCATCATGATCATCTAGTCTGACCTCCTGCATGTTGCAGGCCACAGAACCTAACCCGCCCGCTCCTGTAATAGATCCCTAACTTCTGGCTGAGATATTGAAGTCATAGAATCATAGAACCATAGGGTGAGACAGGACCGCAAGGGTCATCTAGTCTAACCCCTGGCCAAGATGCAGGATTTGTTGCATCTAACCCATTCAAGACAGGTGGCTATCCAGCCTCCTTTTGAAAACTGTCAGTGAAGGAACTTCTACAACCTCCCTAGGCAGTCTGGTCCATTGTCCTACTGTTCTTACAATTAGGAAGTTTTTCCTGAGATTCAATCTAAATCTGCTGTGCTGTAGTTTGAACCCATTGCCTCTCGTCCTGCCCTCTGTGCCAAGAGAGAACAACTTTTTTCCATCTTTTTTTATGGCAGCCTTTCAAGTATTTGAAGACCGCTATCATGTTCCCCCCTTAATCTCCTCTTTTCCAAACTAAACATCCCCAGTTCTTTCAGCCTTTGCCTTGCGTTCCATCCCTTTGATCATCTTTGTCACTCACCTCCGGATCCTTTTCAGTTTCACCACATCCTTTCTATACACTGGTGACCAAAATTGGACACAGTACTCCAGCTGAGACCCAACCAGTGGAGAGTAGAGCAGTACTATCACCTCCCATGATTTGCATGCTATGCCTCTGTTAATCCAACCTAAAATGGCATTTGCTATTTTTGCAACAGCATCGCATTGCTGACTCATGTTGAGGTTTGGATCCACCACAACTCCCAGATCCTTCTCAGCGGTGCTGCTGCCAAGCCAGTTATCCTCCATTCTGTATTTGTGCATTTGGTTTTTCTCCCTTAAATGTAGCACCTTACATTTGTCTTTGTTGAATTTCATTTTGTTTTCTATTCTCCAATTTATCAACATCCCTCTGAATTTTAGCTCTAGCCTCCAAAGTGTTAGCAACCTCCCCAGCCTTCTGTCACCTGCAAACTTGATCAGTCTGCTCTCTATTCCTACATCTAGACCATTAATAAAGATGTTAAACAACACCAGACCAGAATAGATCCCTGTGGAACCCCACTTGAGACCTCCCTCCAATCTGACATCAGTCCATGAATAGTTACTCTTTGTTCGCTGTTATTTAACCAATTTTGTATCGACTTAATGGTAGTTCAGTTGAGCCCGCATTTCTCCACCTTACTTATGAGAACGTCATGTGGGACTGTGGCAGAAGCCTTGCTGAAGTCCAGGTATATTATGTTCACCACATTCCCCCATCCACTAAACCAGTTACAGCGTCAAAGGAGGAAATTGGGCTGGTATGGCAGGATTTGTTTGTGGTAAATCCATGCTGGCTGCTAGTGATCACCCCTTCAGCCTCCAACACTCGCAAATGGAATGTTTCATACATTGCTCCTGGTTTGGGGTACCAGCTGCTTTGTCCTGACTCAGACCTGTGAGCAGGTAACTTGAACTTCCTGAGAAAAACACACACACCAACTCTAGGCACATTCCCTTATGAGCCACTGCTCTCTGATCCACCCTTCCAACCTCTGGCACGGCCGAGCTAAGACGGGGCTACAGTGTGTTGAGGAGAAGGTGGAACAACCTGCAGAATCAGGACCCAAAATGTGGGCCCCGCTGCAAGGAGAAACCCCTCCTTTGTCTGACCTGCCCTGAGGAATGACCTCATTTTCTGTATTTCTCACCCTTGTCAGTTGCTAGGGACGTTTGCATGAAAAGAGGATCATTGTTGATTAGGACCAGACCTGCTTATCCGTTGCCTGCAGCTGCTTTCTTCTGATAGTGGCACTGCCATCGCCACAATGTCAGTGGAAGATTATTTATGGGGGCTTAGTGTTCCGTGGTGACGAGGCGCACGTTGGAGACAGTCACTGAGAGAGTTACAGCTGTACGAGATGGCACCTTATGTAGTATATCTGCTTCCTGCATGTCCTGGAGTCCTGGCAGCAGATTCTAACCTGTGCAATTCCACTACACTCTGCCCACCATGGCATTTGCAGCTGAATCTTCTTCACTTCCAGCCATCACTGCTAAGTTGTGCTGCTGTGTGCTCTTTGGCGGTGGTTTAGAACATAAGAACGGCCATACTGGATCAGACCAATGGTCCATCTACCTCAGCATCCTGTCTTCTGACAGTGGTCAATGCCAGGTGCCCCAGAGGGAATGAACAGAACAGGTAATCATCAAGTGATCCATCCCTCTCGCCCATTCCCAGCTTCTGCCAAACAGAGGCGAGGGACACCACCCCTGCCCATTTTGTACCTTTTCCAATTCCAGTAGATCTTTTTTGAGACGGGGCAACCAGATCTGCACACAGTATTCAAGATGTTGGCGTACCATGGATTTATATAGAGGCAACATGATATTTTCTGTCTAATTATCTATCCCTTCCCTAATGGTTCCCAACATTTTGTTCGCTTTTTTGACTGCTGCTGCACATCGAGTGGATGTTTTCAGAAAACTATCCACAGTGACTCCCAGATCTCTTTCTTGAGTGGTAACAGCTAACTTAGACCCCATCATTCTGTATGTCTAGTTGGGATTAAGTTTTCCAATGTGCATTACTTTGCATTTATCAACATTGAATTTCATCTGCCATTTAGTTGCCCAGTCATCCAGTTTTGTGAGATCCCTTTGTAACTCTTCACAGTCAGCTTGGGACTTAACTCTCTTGAGTAGTTTTGGGTCATCTACAAATTTTGCCACCTCACTGTTTACCCCCTTTTCCAGTTCATACATGAATTATGGCTGTGTTGTACTCAAGAGGTAGCTGCATTTCAGTGGGTGGCAAGGTGATCTCAGTAGTTTTGCTTGTTAAGTTTGTAAAGCATGTTTGGATCCTCTGAGATGGACGGGGCTACAGGAAGGTACATCTTAGCTGCCCGTTTTACTGTAAAAACAAGTTTTAGCATCTTAGAGCCAACGTGGCTACACAGAACAAGTTGTTACCCTCTGCTGCCTCAAGCAGCATCAAGAGAAGCAGCAGCCATTGCTGATAGTGATATAGGAGACAGAGAGAGCTCGGTCAGTCAGCTCGACTCGGGTCCCAAGTGGGGCTGGCAGCTGTAGCAGTTAAAAACCCATTCTTTAACTGGCTCTGAGGGAGAGGGGTCATTTTGTCTGGCCGGGAGCGGGTTAGAAGATAGAATAAGGAAAAAGAACGTGGGTGAAATGTTGTTGCTGAAATGCTTGTTTCTGGGGAGCAGGGGGAGAGACTGGAGTGTACATGCCCCAGCTTGGTAATTCCTCACCACGGGAGGCCAGGCTGCCAGGCTGCCAGGCTGCGGTCTGCTTGATCTGTCTGTCCTATGTGTGTTATGGGTCTGTGGGACTGGGGAGGCTGCAGGGAGTGTCTCTGCACCCCTAGCATGGTGGCAGAGCGCAGCCCCTACAACTGCCCCCAGGTGTGCTATGGCCCATGGGTGGAGTTGGGGATGAGGAGGAGGCCATGTCAGGACCTGGACCCTGTCCCAGGCAGCAGGGCTGTCTAGATGCACCGGATGAGCATGCTGCAGCCCCTTCAGGCCTGTTCTACCTGTGTGCCTGGGAGCTGCAGGAGGGATTATGTCTGGTGTAGGAGTCCCACCTGAGGTGGTGCAGCTCCACACTGGCCCCAAGACAGGGCTGGGGCTCAGTGTGGATGGCCAGACCCTTAGAAAATGTCTTGAGTCATATTATGTTACAAATACTGTACAATGAAAGGGTGCACTTCCCTCAATATAGGGCTGCGGCTAACCACAACAATCTAGTGCTCAGGGATCTGGCAGTGACAGCTCCTGGACAGAGCAAAGGGGCTTCCAAAAGCCCTCCCCAGCATAGTATGGGGACTGAGGACTGAGTTTTTGTGCATGTGGAGCTGCACCCCCAGGAGCAGGCACCTAGCTCTGTCTCTCCTGTGGGAGCTGATCAAAGCCTCCTAGCCCACACACCCAATTTGTCTGTCTTCTCATTTCTCTCCCTCAGCAGCAGTTCAGTGTAAATCAGGTTGCTTAATACTTTGCCACCTAGACGTTGAAACGCTGCTTCAAGTGAGAAAGTTTGAATAATTCAATCAGGGCTCTACGGTCTGGATGATAATTGCACAGAAAAGCACTCAATAACATGATGGTGAAGGGATCACGAGTTAAAGTCTTGTTCTGTTTTGTTTCTGTGTGTCAGCATCACGCAGCCTCCAAACAAGAAGTCTTGTGCTATATTTAAAAAGTAATGGCCATGTTCTGATGATGATTTACTGAGTACCACAGTCCCCATCCCAGGGGTTTTACAAGCTAAATCCAGCATGGAACATACAGTGCAGACATTGGGCTGCTGCTGTAAGCCATGCTATGGCAAACTGGAGTCATTGACAACTGAGTCTAAATGAGTCTGGGAAAGTCTTATCTGGTGCAACATATATCTTCTTCCAGCCCTTGACATGCATATTCTATCAACATAGACTAGACAGGGTTCAGAGTGGTAGCCGTGTTAGTCTGTATCAGGAAAAACAACGAGGAGTCCTTGTGGCACCGTAGAGACTAACACATTTATTTGGGCATAAGCTTTCATGGGCTAGAACCCACTTCATCAGATGCATGGAGTGGAAAATACAGGAGCAGGTATAAATACATGAAAGGACGGGGGTTGCCGTACCAAGTGAGAGGTCAGTCTAACAAGATAAATGAATTGATAACGCAATCCCCATCCTTTCAGGTATTTATATCTGCTCCTGTATTTTTCACTTCGTGCATCTGATGAAGTGGGTTTTAGCCCACGAAAGCTTATGCCCAAATAAATTTGTTAGTCTCTAAGGTGCCACAAGGACTCCTTGTTGTATAGACTAGATAGACGCCCTTAGGCCTTGTCTACACAGAAAAGATTTTTTTCAGTATAATCTAAGAAGTGAATTTAAACTGTTATCATTATACCAGTATCGAACCAAATGTGAATGCTCCTACTGCAGTAAAAGAATGGCCTTTGTCGGTTTCACTTTTCTCGCTTGGGAAAGAGTTGAAATTAAATCTAAAAAAGCCACTCTTATTCTGGAATAAGACTGTCCACCTGGGTAACAATATTGGTATAACTGGTAAAACTTTCCTGTGTACACAAGGCCTTCAATTGACTGACCGACCCATTCACTACCATGTTGTTTGCATCTCCTCCTTACCCATCAGCTCTGAATTTGGCCAAGAGAGTCTAGCAAGAAAAACAGCTAAGAGGAAAGGGTGTATGAAGATGTAAGTTAATTACCCTCTACTTCAATGTACCCTTGCTTTCTTAGACTCCGTAATACTCCATCTAAGGGAGTGGGAGACAGTGTAAGGTGTTCCAGCGTACACCACCCTCTGACTGACCTGCCAGTGGAATTGCACTGATGCAAAAACCACGTTCCTTTGGAAGCCACAGAGCTGCTTATTTCTGTGACGGACACTCTGAGTGGGGAACTTGCACTCCAAGATTTGGAGTTGAACTTGTGCTGAACTCTGCCCATAACTCACTTTGGTTTGTTGTGAAACTGTGATTGACTTAACTGGCAGGCACAGCGAGGTGTTAGCGTGGCTAGGGGAACCATTGCCATGAAAACAAAAGGGTCGCTAATGGATATCAGGAAAGCTTTGTATGAGGCCTGAGGTTCAGCACCAGTTCAAATCTCAGACTGCGAGAGAAGCTCTCCCCCAGAAATCAATGGTTCCATTTTATTTGAACCAGTGTTTTCTATCAAGGCAATTTAAGACAAGTGCTACTTCTTCCACTGGGAACTAGATTGATGGGATCACAGCTGGGAGAATTTGTGACCATTGTTGTCAAATATTTGCCACTTCAGGCTTTTTAAACTTCATTATGAAACATTTTAAACTAAACTGAACAAAGTCCTACAGCACATACAGTAGGGACAGTTGGGCATTTGCTTGGGGGCTGGAGTAGATGACTCCATCTCTAACTTCAGTGAGAGGTGCAATCTCCTGCCCTGACGTTCAGTTTACACATTACTCAACAAAGCAGAGATAACCAGCAGCTAAAGCAGTTCCAGCCCCATCCTTCTGGTCAGCTGGTGGATGTGTCTGAGTAATGAGAACCTTGCTCCCCATTACAATCACATCCACAGCCAGTGCAACCCTCCCCCTTGGTTGCAAGTTTTCAAACCTGTTTTCCTGACCTCCAGAAGCTCCGGCTGGATTCTCTTCCTTGCAATAATGAGAAAAAGTCAGGCTGTGCCTATTGCTTATGCTTGTGGTCATTGTCTGTCTCCCTCTTGACCTATTTTGCTTTTCTCTACACAGACCCTATGGTGCAAAAGCATTTGGAAAGTCTCCAGAACCGCTATGGAACTGGTGTGGAACTTGGGCAGCTGGAGAGGCTCACTAATCTTCTGCTGGTGGAAGGCTTGACAGATATTCAGCAGAAAGAGCATGACGTCATGCAGATTGAGGCCACCAAAGGCATGAGAAATGTTGCCAAGAAAATCCCCCTGGAGAAGCTCTTCCTACCTCTGTCTAAAGTCAGCATTCCTCCTCGTATCTCTGTGACCGTGGGCGTGGCTGGGATTGGCAAAAGCACTTTGGTGAAACTGTTTGTTTGCATGTGGGCCAAAGGGGAGGTCAATAAGGACATCATATTCGTGCTGCCTCTCACCTTCCGGGAACTGAACACTTATGAGAAACTCTCTGCTGAGAGGCTCATCCGGTCAGCATTCCCTCATATTACTGAACCCAGCTTTATCTCCAATGGCACTGCCCGGATTTTACTGATTCTGGATGGCTTGGATGAGTTTAAGACTCCTTTAGATTTTTCCAACACAGTCGTTTGCACGGACCCCAAAAAGGAAATTCAAGTGGATAGTCTGATCACCAATATTATCCGTGGCAACCTGTTCCAGGAAGCTTCCATTTGGGTCACTTCACGGCCCACAGCAGCCAGCCAAATCCCAGGTGGCCTAGTTGACCGGATGACAGAAATACGAGGTTTTGGAGCTGTGGAGATCAAGGACTTCTTGGATCAGATGTTCCTTGAGAACAAAGACTTATCCAGTCAAGTCTTGGGTCAGATCAAGGCTAACAGATCTTTGTACACAATGTGTACGGTTCCTGCCTTTTGCTGGATATCTGGCTCCTCAATGGGCTATTTCCTAAAGAACAGCACTGATCAATCCCAAGAAATGACAACTGTTCCTAAGACTTTATCAGAAATCTACTCCTATTACTTTAAAATGGCACTGAGTAGTGACTGGCAGGAAAAACAGAAGGAGACTCCCAGGATAGAACAAGCTATAAACAACAGCAAAAAAATTATTGGTAACCTGGGTCGGCTGGCATTTTATGGTCTACTCAAGAAAAAGTACGTATTTTACGAACAAGACATGAAAGCCTATGGCATAGACCTCTCATCACTACAAGGCAGCTTGTGCAGTAGGATGTTACTCAAGGAAGAGATGCAGTTTTCCACTGTCTACTATTTCTCCCATTTAACCCTCCAGGAGTTTTTGGCAGCCACTTATTACTATGCTTCAGCAAAGCGAGCAATATTTGATCTCTTCACTGAGAGCGGGATGTCCTGGCCTAAGTTTGGTTTCCTCAATCACTTTAAGAACGCTGTCCAGAGATCACTGCAGTCAGAGGACGGGCAGCTGGATATCTTTGTGCGCTTTCTCTCTGGACTTCTCTCCCCACAGGTGAACAAATTACTGTCCGGTTGGCTCTTGATAAAGGATGAGCATAACAGCTTCCGAAGCCACGTGATCAGCTTTCTCCAGAGCTGCCTGAACACTGACTATGTCATCTCCTCCAGGACTGTGAACGTCATGCAGTGCTTGTATGAAGTGCAGCACATGGAGCTGGCCAAGACTGTGGAGGAAGCTATGAAAAACGAGAGCTTAGCTGGGATGTTAACGCCAGTGAATTGCTCTGCCCTGGCTTATCTCCTGCAGGTCTCTGAGGTGTGCATGGAGGAGACAAACCTCTCCAACTGCCTCACCTACAATATCTGCAAAAGTCTGCTTTCCCAGCTCCTCTTCTGCAGTAATCTCCGGTAAGTCAGATCAGGGTTTTGTGTAGGGACCGGGACTATTTCCATGTTTCTGTGAAATGCGGTAGAAAGTAGCAGCTGTTTAAAGGATATGTGGCAATTATTTTATTCAGGACTATTGTCCTGCAAACAGAAATATACTCTGAGGATGGTATTAGGATGACTAGATAGCAAGTGTGAAAAATCAGGACAGGGAGTGGGGGTAACAGGTGACTATATAAGAAAAAGCCCCAAATAAAATCGGGACATCTGGTCACCCAAGATAGTATGGTCATGTGGTACTGAGAAATATGTGTCATGTTGAGAGCAGGGAGCTGAAAGTCCAGACTCTTGGGGTCTTCTAGTGCAGGGGACTAGAGTAGAAAACCTCTTGAGTTCCCTTCCAGTCCTATGCTTCTATTATTCTATTTTTGGCTCTGCCACTGACCTGCTGTATGACCTTGGGCAAGTCAGTCCAGCTCTGTGCTTCAATTTCTCCACTTGTAAAGGGAGAGGATAATACCTACTTCGCAGGGGTGATGTGAGGCTTGGTTAATCCAGGGTCTATTGCAGGAATGGGTGAGGTTCTGTGGCCTACGATGTGCAGAAGGTCAGACTAGATAATCATGATGGTCCCTTCTGACCTTAAAGTCTATTAGTCTAATATATTCAAAATGCCATGTGTTCTTTGGGTGAAAGAAGCTGGAGAAGTGGAAGTGGCAGTGCTAATATGCCAAACATCATGCTGTGTTTGTTATTACCTATGTATATCAATGGCTGATGAGCTATCCTGAGATGCTGCTAGTATTGCATTATGGGGGCCACTTAGGAAACCACAGAGTCTGGAACTGGGGTTTTTGCTTTGTAGGCTGGTAGAGATAACAAGACTAATAGGAGGCAAGTGGTTTTACTTGAACTACTTTCACATTGTACCTTCACCTCTGAGGAGCAGAGGCTAATTCAGTTGCCTTCACTTTATAGTACTTGGCCTCTCTGCTGAGGTTACCATAATAGGTGTCAATTTAATTGGGTGAGGGATGATATGGGCACTTCTCCACTAGGACTTGGACTCAGATCCCCAACTCATTTCACATTGGCCAATGGACAGCCCTTAAAAGACCTTTAGTTATTGCTGGCCTGGATGAATGAGAATCAGCAACTCACAGGTAGAAGATTTTGTGTTTCACTCACAGTCCCCTGAGCAATCCAGAGGTCTATTGGATCGTTATACCATTTGAGGCTGGTTTAGTACCCCCATTGGCAGGGGTGAAAGTAACTTACAGGACTTACTGGTACTGCTGGAGTCATGAGGGGGGCGTGGCCTCATCCAGAAGAGGGGGGCCTCTCAAGATTTAAAGGCCCTGGGGCACCGTCTGTGGCTGGGAACTCCAGGGCTTTTAAATCAACCCAGGGCTCCCAGCTGCAGAGGTGGCTGGGAGCCCCCGGGGCAAATTAAAGGGCCCGGGGCTCTCTGCAGTGGCGGGAACTCTGGGCCCTTTAAATCCCAGCCCCAGCCCAGCCGCCAGAGCTGCGGGCGGGATTCAAAGGGCTCGGGGCTCCCCGCAGTGACGGGGAGCTCTGAGCCCTTTAAATCCCAGCCCCAACCCAGCCGCCAGAGCTGTGGGGGGATTTAAAGAGCTCGGGGCTCCCCACAGTGGTGCAGAGCTCTGAGCCCTTTAAATCCCAGGCCCAGCCCGGCTGCTGGAGCTGCGGGGGGGATTTAAAAAGCTCAGGGCTCCCCACAGTGGCGGGGAGCCCCGAGCCCTTTAAATCCCTGCGCGTAAGCCGGTGCGGTCCGGCACGGCGTACTGGCTCTTGCCGGTACACCGGACCAGACCGGCTTACTTTCACCTCTGCCCATTGGATAGTCATCCCCAAAAGTCACCTGTCGCTAATATCAGACTTAGCGACAAGTGGACAAGGTACGATCAGATGACAAGGACCGGCACTGGCTTAAACACAGTGCATTTTAGTGTTGTGCATGCCTAGAGTATGTGTTTAATGGTCATGACATGACCTGTGGCAGCTACAACCTAGTGCCATCTTACAAGACTTATAAAGAGAGGCCCTGGGGCAGTGCAGAGTCCTGTATCGCTATCCTGGAATAGGCTTTACACTCCTGCCCTATCTTTCATTGGAGGAACCCAAAGGACTTAAATGTGATTTTTGCATAAGTGAAGCACCTCCAAGTTTTTAGAGGACATTCTCTTTGGAAGAGTAGGACCTCCTAGAGTTATCCTGGGATGCTGGTAAGTGTGACTGAGTTATCCTAGAGAGAACAGACTCTTCCGGCGCTGTGCATATGGAATATTCTCTAGTCGTGAGGATCAGCAGCATATGGGCTCTCGGCTCCTTGCTGGGGGATAGTAGGGGAGGTCAGGTTCACTGTGAAAGTCAGCATCTCAAGGAACACACTACCTCTGATGGGGGTCGCTCTGTGAACTCTTGAGCATGGAAGCTACACAGATCAGGATCTCTTCATTTTTTCTGAGAGCTCTCACTCTCAGCAGCTCAAAATGGACGTTTTCTCCTCCTCCTCGTGTTATCAAAATGCTTTGTTCTCAGCCATCTCTTCTTCTTTTGCTTTGTTGGCCAGGCTGGACAATAACAAGTTTAAGGACAATGTGATGGAGCTGTTGGGCAGCGTCCTGAGCGGGAAGGATTGTCAGATTCAAAAGATGAGGTACTGGCTGGCATTCATAAAATATTTTGGGGTGTCACTGCAGAGGTCGTTTAAACATCTAAACATTCACATGATCTAAGCCGTGTTGTAAGATGTGCCCTCAACACAGCATTGCACCATGTGTCTCCGCATGTTCATCCGCTCAGTGTGCAGCGGCAGTCAACAAAGAGAACAGAACAGAGACCATTAGGAAAGGGAGAGAGAATAAAACAGAAAATATCATAATGCCACTATATAAATCCATGATATCCACACCTTGAATACTGTGCACAGTTCTGGTCACCCCATTTCAAAAAAGATACATTAGAATTGGAAAAGGTGCAGAGAAGGGCAATAAAAATGATTAAGGGTATGGAACAGCTTCCATACGAGGAGAGATTAATAAGACTGGGACTTTTCATCTTGGAAAAGAGACAACTAAGGGGGGATATGGTAGAGGTCTACAAAATCATGAGAGGTGTGGAGAAGGTGAATAAGGAAGTGTTATTTACCCCTTCACATAACACAAGCACCAGGGGTCACCCAATGAAATTAATAGGCAGCAGGTTTACAACAAACAAAAGGAAGTATTTCTTCACACACAACACAGTCAACCTATGGAACTTGTTGCCAGGGGATGTTGTGAAGGCTAAAAGTATAACTGGGTTCAAAAAAGAATTAGGTAAGTTCAAGAAGGACAAGTCCATCAATGGCTATTAGTCAAGATGGTCACAGATGCAACCACATGGTCTGGATGTCCCTAGGCCTCTTGACTGCCAGAAATATCTGGCACTGGCTGCTGTCAGAGATTGGACTAGATGGACCATTGATCTACATGGATCCAGTATGGCCATTCTTATGTCTGACTTGCAAGCCCTGGCCGCACACTAATCATCTTCTCCACACTAAATTTGACCTTTTTGTCTCTATTAATATTGCTGTAGAGCCCGTTGAGATATGTTCTGGTAGTTCAATGCATACAGGTAACTGTTTAACCCCCCCACCCCACCCCCCAGAAGTTTGGGTAACCAACCTGCCTGCTAAACTGGTGCTCAATCCCATCTTAACTGACCAGCAAATGCCTCCTCTAACAGGGGGACTTCCAAGGTGGAGGCTCCCCTGCTGGACAACTCTGATTGACCAAGATGATGATGATGTCCTTTGCTGGTATGAGGATGGATGTTTATTGTAATCACAGTCAGGATGGCGGCTCTGGGAGCACACGTTTGTCAAGAGGGGTAGGTGAACAGGGCAGGTCTCCCACTGCCACACTGTCTCTCTACACAGCTATTTGCAGTTCATGGGCAGACTTCGACTCTCAAAACTTGTGATCAATGCCACCTAGACCAGTTATTTTCAGCTAGATTTCAGCCTCTGACTTTTTCCGAAACCTGCTGCTTGAGCAGCAAATTGTGGCCGAAAGCAGGGAAGTGAGGACTGTGGTTTGTACTAAGTTTTACTGGAGTTTTGCTCCCCAAATTGCAGTTCCCAGCTCTCTTGGGCGGGGGGATTTGAAATGTGGAATTAACAAGGAATGGTTCCCGTGGTCTCAGACACTAAAGTGCCAGTGCAGACAGAGTGCTTTGCAATGCTGGTGGAGTCGCACCCTGAGCTCTTCTGAGAAAAGGCATTCATAAAGTAGCCAGGCCACAAGAAGTGCTGATGCCTTCAAAGTCAGCGGTGCAGATAATTCCCCAGTACCATACACTGGCAGGTTACTGGAGTCTCTCAGGCGAGGTTTGAGGACCTGGGTGACACAGCCCAAGGTGAGGGGGCTGTTACAGGATTGGGTGGGGCTTGTGACATGTAGGAGGTCAAACTAACGGTTCATGATGGTCCCTTCTGGCCCAGGTCTCTGAGTCTGGGAGTTATTTGGAATGTTAAAGTCGGGTCTGGTTAGTGGCCCATGTCTGAAAACTGTGGGGCAAATGGCTAACCCTGTAGGACACCAATGCTGAGTATAGTGTTCTCCTGCTTAGCACTGCTCCTGAGGATGAGTTCGTGGCTCCTTGTTCTCCTGCCCCCTTAGAGCAGGAGACCCTCACCTCTCTGGGAGCACTGGGCCCCCAGCAAGCAGAGTCTGCCTTTCCCCACCTACCTCTTCCTTCCTCCAGCTCTGTGCCCCTGCCCAGACTCCCTCTCATTTCCACATGAGTCATTGCCTGCCCCAGTGCGGTACAGCACCTTCCCACTGCCCTCCTGGGGCCCAGCCAGCGAGAGCCGTCAGTCACAGCTGCAGAGCACAGCCAAGGACAGGGATGGCTCGCTGGGGCTGTGGGACTTGTTGCAGGAATGATTTCCAGTCCAGCAAGGTGGTCTCTCAACAGCCAGCACCTCTCCTTGCACCTGCCATTGCCCTCAGTCCCCAGATGACATATACCTAGGGATCAACTGGTTTCCGAAGGGTTAACATGATCTTAGAATGAACCAATGGAACTGTATTTGTCAAACGTAATATGGTGACCTCCATGTTATAACAGTATTCCTCTTCCATGCAAATTCCTCAGCTGTGTCCTTGGCAGTTTCGGTGGCTGGCAGTGGGCTTGGAGGGATGTAATGGGCTAGGAACTGTATTTATTCTCCTTAGACTAGATGCTAACTCCAGTTTCTTTTCCCGGACAGCTTGGCAGAAAACCAGATCAGTAACAAAGGGGCCAAAGCCCTCGCCAGATCCCTGATGGTCAACAGGAGCCTGACAGTACTTGAGTAAGTTTCGTATGTTTCCTAGTTGATGTCGTCCACCCTGTGGGCAAACATGGGTGCCTGCAGCGCCCTCACGTGCTGTCAGCTGTTTCCTTCATGAAAATTGATTAAATAGAACGGGTGATGTCAGCTGACCTTAATTTCTCCACATTGGAGGATGGCTCCTGCCCACCGTAATCAGTTCCCAGAAGAGATGCATAATGTTGTTGTAGTATTTTAGACTGGTGACTAATGAGAGAAATGTCAGCTGCCAAGCTTGTTTTCTCTTTCTGAAATCAGCTGTCACCAAATTTCAAAGATTTCAACCCCAAAGCAGCTTGAACAGCTGAAATCCAGTAAGAAAGCTCATGTGATGCCCTCTTGTGAAAAAATGAAAGGTTAAAATCCTTCCCTGCTCCCCCCACGTTCAGAATGAACGATATTGCAGATTTCAAGATCCTTCTTGGAGTAGCCTCTGCACATTTCCACTCCTGGGATGTGCCGGCAGTGCAGCTCTGATGTCCATCAGTGCATCCCTTAATGAGTGTGACAGTGCAGAGTCCATCTCATATGAGCAACATTCATTCCTAGTTCATTGGTGGCCTGATACAATGTCCACTGAAGGCAATGGGAGTCTTTCCATTGTCTTTAGTGGACATTCAAGCAGACCCTGGCAACATGGAAACGAACGGTGGCAGTCAGTAGCCTGTTACAAGTGACTAGTATATTAAACATGCCAAGCATATCTTGCAACCTGCTCTGGCCCAGATGTGGAACATGACCTGTGACAAAGATTCAAAATGAGGGAGCCCAAAAAGTTATTAATCCAGGAAATGTAAGACGCTGTATGATTCCTTCCTGGGGTGTGAAAAACTCTCTCTACAACCTCAGTTTCGCAGTTATTTATTTGTGATGTAAATGATTTTCAAGAATAATAGTCGGGGGACACCAAACTCGTGTGAAATGTACTCAACTTTTCGATGTAAAGCTATACATCTAGGAACAAAGAACATAGGCCATTCTTACGAGATGGGGGACTCTACCCTGGAAATCAGTGACTCTGAAAGAGACTTGGGGGTCATGATGGGTAATTAGTTGATGATGGGTTCCCAGTATGACGCTGTGCTGAAAAGAGCTAATGCGATCCTTGAACACACAAACAGGGGAACCTCGAGTAGGAGCAGGCAGGTTATAGTACATCTGTTTGGCACTGGTGCAACCACTGCTGGAATCCTGTGTCGAATTCTGGTGTCCCCAGTTCAAGAAGGATGTTGATAACTTGGAGAAGGTTCAGAGAAGAGCTGCAAAGATGATTAAAGGATTGGAGAACCTGCCTTACAGTGACAGACTGAGCTCCTTGAGTTTAATTAGCTTAACAAAAAGAAGGTAAAGGGGTGACTTGATCACAATCTGTTAAATACCTACATGGGGAACAAAGAATTGACAATAGGTTCTTCAGTCGAGCAGACAAAGATCTAACAAGGTCCAATGGCTGGAAGTTGAAGCTAGACAAATTTGAGACTGGAAATAAGGTACAAATTTTAACAATGAGGGTAATTAACCAGTGGAATGACTTACCAAGGGTTATGGTGGATTCTCCATCACTGGCAAGTTTTCAATCAATACTGGATGTATTTTCTAAAAGTTCTGCTCTAGTTTAGACAGGAACTACAGTAATTCAGGGAAGACCTCTGGCCTGTGTCCTACAGGAGGTCAGACTAGATGAACACAATGGGCCCATCTGGCCTTAGCTGTGAATCTATGGAATGATGGACAGTTGACTCTTGACTCCTCCCATGATGATCTATTAAACTGCACTAAAGACACCCTGAGATCCAGTAACAGAGGCTAAGTCCCAGTGGCTGGGAAGATCAAGGTTTAAACTGAACGCCCACCCTTAACTCTCTCTTGTCAGACCAGTTTTGTTCTTGTCCGGATTTTCTAACTTTAGCTTTTTTGTCTCTCTTTATCCTCGCTCCACCTTCTCCCCAGCCTTCGCAGTAATGCCATTGGACCCACAGGGGCAAAAGCACTGGCTGATGCACTGAAAATAAATCAAGTCCTACTCTCCCTGAAGTAAGTGCTGTTGGTTTCCCTTCCTTGGCTTCTTCTGAAAGCTAATTCCTAATAGACATAATTGTATATGCAAGAGACCGCTGTGTGGGTGTGAACAGTCTTCATCTCACTGGCTATCAGATGTTCAAATGACTAGACCAGAAAGATTGTGGATAGTAAACGGCTGCCTTCATCCCAGTACAAGTACAGTCAGCTTGCAGAAGGTGGCTGTTACAAGAGCAGTAGCCATAGAAACAATGTGTCACTTGCAATATCCAGGAACAATCTTTTCCTGGCAGGGCTTTGGCAGACAACTCCTGAGAGTCCATCTTAACTTTACAGGGGACCCAGGAGAAGCCACCTTGGGAATGCTACTTAGTTCTCTCCAGATGCCCAGCTGAAGTGGGAGATGCGCTCACTGAAGCTGCTAGCTCTTTACAGTGATGCTGTGCTTTATGGTGTCGTGTCAAAAGGGCTGTCCCAGCATTAGAAACATTGCATATGGTGTTGGGTTGAAAGGTGCGTCAGAACGACAGAGGTCTCTAATTGTCATTGTCGTAGGCTAATTCTAGGCTTCCCTGCAGTGAGGGACACAGCAACATCTACGTTGTGTTCTTGGATTTTCTCTGCTATCCCTCTTCTTTAATAAGATGAGGTCAGGTCCAGGGCAAATTGTTTGTATCTATAAACGTACTGCATTTGCACTTTGGCTATGGAATGAGGAGAAACTCAGTGGTTTTGACTGAGTTGCACTCTGAGGTTTTGGAGTTGTTGGACTTTTGGGCCCATGTGGACGGAAATCAAAGGAATTGTTCACGTGATTCCCTAGCAACTGAACCTGTTGAGTTTTGTATTTCATAGGTTATGGATCCAGTGGGTCTGGTGCGCCTCTCCAAGTTGCTGGTGTAAATCAGGAATAGGAAGTCAATGAACTTATGCCAATGAGAAACCAAGGGGAGATCAGAATCAAGCCCAATAGATCTAGAGATTGGCTCAAACCACAAAATTGAGATTGGATTTTGAATATCCTCCTCCCCAGTTTGAGTTGTGATGGAGTCAAGCTGAGGAATTCTGGCTCCAGCCCAGCTCTACTTATATCTTCTTGCCCTGAACCAACTATCCAGAAATACTTTGAATTCTCCCTCCTCCCCCTTTCTCTTTGTAGAAGTCATAGGGCATAACTTAGTACATGGACTGAGGGATTGGAATGGATCTGGTTGGGGTGTACATGCTAATATGTATGTCTTATTATTCAGTACAATATCTATTGACTTACTGTCTTGTTTATATTTATTTAATTATTCTCCATATTGAGATTCAACTGCTATTTAAAAATCATGATTATGTAAAAAAAAATAGGCAGCAAGTTTTAAAATAAACAAAAGGAAGTATTTCTTCACACAATGTACAGTTAACCTGTGGAACTCATTGCCAAGGGATGTTGTGAAGGCCAAAAGTATAACTGGGTTCAAAAAAGAACTAGATAAGTTCCTGGAGGACAGGTCCATCAATGGCTATTAGCCAAGATGGTCAGAGACACAAACCCATGTTCTGGGTGTCCTAAACCTCTGACTGCCAGAAGCTGGGACTGGATGACAGAGGATGGATCACATGACGATTGCCGTGCTCTATTCATTCCCTCTGATGCACCTGGTACCATCCACTGTCGGAAGACAGGATACTGGTCTAACCCAATATGGCTGTTCTTATTTTCTTCTGACTGCACTGAGGGATGGAGAAGAGCAGGAAGGCAGGCAGAAGGGAGACTAGGCAGAGGAGGAAATGGAGGGATAGAAGTGGCCTATAAGACAATATAAACAACAAAGAGCCTGATGTCTCAGTTACCCTCAGGCTGCTTTACCCTGCTCTGGCAGCGTGAGGGCCATCAGGTGCAGGCAGATCTGTAAAGTGGATGCCCGTGTAACCTACAGCCACTTTAAGGACTCTTTACCATGCTGGAGTGGTGTGAAGGGGCCTTAGTGCAACTGTGAATCAGCCCCATGGAGATTCAAATCAATGACTGACTGAGGATGTTGTGATATTTCCACGAGGCACTGTTGTGTCTGGAGCAAAACGTCTTAGGGCAACATGAGCCCTGAAAAGGCTGGTAGGTGTGCTCAGGAGATTGGAACATGTGACTCAACCCCAGCACCTTAAACAGAAGGGAGGAGAAGAGAAAGGGCAAGAGGTGTCTGGAAGAGGTAGGCTGCTAAGGGGGCAGGAGGCAGTCCCAAAAGGCGGGGGGCAAGACTCAGGAGGCGCACTAGGAAAAGAACAGCACAGGAAGTTCAGGCGCATGGGGGTTCATTCTTTTATACTATTGCCTCTGGCCTCAGGAGATGGCATGGCTAATGTGAGACAGACTGGGACAGTCTGTGGCTGCATCCTGCTCTAATTTCCAGTTTTTCCACAATAATTGTGTTGTTTTATCTCTGCAGCCTCCAGAATAACATGATCAAGGAAGATGGTGCTAAATTCCTGGCTGAGGCCCTTTTAACCAACCACAAGCTGAGAACTTTGCAGTGAGTGATTCTAACCCCCAAGCTCCCCTATGGTTTGTTGTCTGCTCGTTTCCATGGCCATCTGCAAGGGCATCTCCATGGTCAAAGCAGCCTGCTGCTAATTCCCCTTCTTGGCTTGGCCTCCTGGTCAGGGCCAGCTGAAAGCACAAGCAGATGGAGCAGTTGTTCTCAGCCCCACAATCTGACCGTTTTCCATGTCTCTATTCAGACACTTAATCATGTCTTTGCACAACACTAAATACGGTTCCTCCTCCATTGGTAGGTTGTGCCCAGACCCCAGTTGCAAGGGTGCCACCATTTCACACAAGGAAGCCTGCACTGCTCACGTCAAAGCTGGTTTCCACACACAAACCCATTCACCTACAATGCACTAAATCTACTGCAATTGCAGTGCCCAAAAGTGGACAGAGGCTGTGTGTGGAGAGAGATGCTCTTCTGTTCAAGGAGCAGGAGGGGGCAGGACAGAGACGATCTGAAGGAAACATGATAGATGGTGGGGTGGACTCTGAGGAAGATGGTGTCTGGTTTGTTTGCCTGGTTCATGCCCAGTCTGTCTTATTTATTCTAACCACTAAGAAGATAAAGCTAAGTGCAAACTACTACACTTAGGAAGCAAAAATGAAATGCATTGCTACAAAATGGGGAATAACTGACTAGGTGATAGTACTGCTGAAAAGGATCTGGGGGTTAGAGTAGATCACAAATTGAATGTGAGTCAACAATGTGATGCAAATGCAAAAAAATGCTAATATCATTCTGGGGTGTATTAACAGGAATGTTATATGTAGACATGGATGTAATTGTCCTGCTGTACTCAGCACTGGTGAGGCCTCAGCTGGATACTGTGTCCAGTTCTGGTTGCCTCATTTTAGGAAAGATGTGGACAAACTGGAGAGAGTCCAGAGGAGAGCAACCAAAAGAATAAAAGGTTTAGAAAACCTGACCTATGAGGAAAGGTTTAAAAAATCTGGACAAGTTTAGTCTTGAGAAAAGACAGAGGGGGGGACCTGATAACAGTCTTCAAATACATGAGGAGCTGTTATAAACAGGACTGTGATGAATTGTTCTCCATGTCCACTGAAGGCAGGACAAGAGACAAGAACTAATGGGCTTAATTGGCAGCAAGAATCACAGAATCATAGAATATCAGGGTTGGAAGGGACCTCAGGAGGTCATCTAGTCCAACCCCCTGCTCAAAGCAGGACCAATTCCCAACTAAATCATCCCAGCCAGGGCTTTGTCAAGCCTGACCTTAAAAACCTCTAAGGAAGGAGATTCCACCACCTCCCTAGGTAACTCATTCCAGTGCTTCATCACCCTCCTAGTGAAATAGTGTTTCCTAATATCCAACCTAGACCTCCCACACTGCAACTTGAGACCATTACTCCTTGTTCTGTCATCTGGTACCACTGAGAACAGTCTAGATCCATCATCTTTGGAACCCCCTTTCAGGTAGTTGAAAGCAGCTATCAAATCCCCCCCTCATTCTTCTCTTCTGCAGACTAAACAATCCCACTTCCCTCAGCCTCAGTCAAGGGAGATTTAGGTTAGATATTGGGAAAAGGACAGTTAAGCATTGGAACAGGTTTCCAAGGGAGGTTGTGGAATCTCCATCACTAGAGGTTTTTCAGAACAGGTTGGACAAACACCTGTTAGGGATTGTCTAGGTTTACTCGGCCCTGCCATAGTGCAGGGACTAGATGACCTCTCGAGGTCCCTACCAGCCCTATCTCACTATGATTTTAGGACAAGTCGAATAGGGCATGTAACAGTGTGATGTCAGTGTGATGCTTGATTGGCAAGGATTTTCCTTGATGATGATGATGTCTGTTGATATGGTAATGGCTGATAACAACACGATCATGGCCGTTACTTGATGTGACCAGGCCAGGTAGTCTGCCATCCTCTACTCTGGTGGAAAAGTCCACCCACCAGCTTACCTGGGGCAGCTATCCACAGAGAATTTGAGGATCTAGGTCTAGTGGAGAATGATAAGAGATGGGGTGAAGGTATAAATAGCAAAAGAGTGTGCACCAAAGCTACCTGTATGCATTAGGGTGTACAAAATATACAGAGGCAGAAGTGCCTCAGCCAGAGATGGGAGAGCTCAAGTGAGAAGAAGAAAGTTAAAGTGTGTTATTGATGGAGAGCTGACTCCCTCTTTTTGAAGTTTATGGGTGTTTCTGTCTTCTTCACAGTCTTCAGAAGAACTCCATTGGACCCCAAGGTGCAAAGAAAATAGCAGAAGCACTGAAGCAGAACGGGAATCTCAGGGAACTGATGTAAGGATTGACAGAAAGGATACACGTTAATAGAGAGATGAACAATGATTGTGGGTGACACTAACTTCTGAGTCCTCTTAGGATCTGTCCCAACCTATTATGACATGCTGTACAAGAAAGGCCAGATATTGCCACCCCTATTTCCCTGGCAGGGTTTCCTGTGCATTCTTCTTCGGGAGGCCAGGGTTTGACCTCTGCTCATCCCTTGCTCGCTGCCGAGTGCCCTCCTGCAGCATGTGGTCCCAAACCCCTGTGGATACCTTGAGACTGGAAGGGATATCTGGGAGCTGCATGGGCACAGGGCCATCCACGCAGGCCATCTGGGGCTCTGCAGCAGCTTGGGCACTCTGCAGCTATAGCTTTGCTTCCTGACTGCATGGCCACTTGGCAGCCGTCTTGTCAGGGATTCCCGTTAAAGGGGAGAGGGGCTCCCACTGTGGAGGGGGCACCTGGCTGTATTACATCTCCGGAGGAATCTCTACTAGGTGCCAGAGGCAAGAGATGCATCTCCCACTCCTTCCTCCAGTGTAGGTACCAAACTAGGCAGGCCCCTTTTTGAGAGGTTTGTCCCTGTGCGACACCGGGACAGAACCAGACGTGGTTTTCTCTGATATAGGATGGGGGATGCTGCTCAGCACCCTGTGTCTCTTAAAAATGGCCCCACCCGGGCAGTGTGACCTCACACACACTGTCCTGCCGGCAGGGGCAGGATCATGTTGGCGGGGGTGGGGTCGTGCTGTTTCTGGAAGTACCAGGATGTCTGGTATTCTTGGAACGGGTGAGTGGCCACCTTACTCCAGTGTACCCACTGCCTGCCCCATCCCTCCCATATGCCTCACTGGGCCTGTGACGAGCCACACCTCCATGGCCCCTTTTCCACCAGGGGAGGGAGAGATCTGTTTGAAGGGGACCCTCTCTGCATGCCGACCAGAAGGGTACAGTCTGGCCACACTTGTTCTTACGTTAATAACATACCCTGGAGAGGGCCTGGACACACCCATTACTGGAAGTACAGCTGCTCACGGCAGCTGTGCCCCCAGAAATACGAACCGCTGTAGTCAGGGAACACAAATCGGACAAGCACTAGAGCTAAACACGTGTCTGGGATCACGCTTTGCAACTCCCTGGAAAGCTTCCCTCCCAACGACATTTCTCTGAAAAGCCAAACTAGGGAAGGAACAGGTTAAAGAATGTTCAGCTCAATCAGATGTATTAAAGTCAGCCGGACCTGGTGAAATTCATCTTAGGGTACTTAAGGAACTAGCTGAAGCAATCTTGGAATTGTTAGAGATTATATTTGAGAACTCCTGGAGGATGGGTGAGTCCCAGAGGACTGGAGAAGGGCAAACACAGCACCTGTCTTTAGAAGGGGGGACAAAGAGGACCTAAGTTCTCTGTAAGCTAAATAAGCTGCTGGCTGTGCAGCAGTTTATTTAGCACTGGGCAGGCGCTCAAGGAACCCACCCAGCTGGGACCTGCCGCGGCCAGGGGAGGGGCGCTCCTTCCCCAGCCCCAACCCGCCGCAGCCGGGGGAAGGGTGCCCAGAGGCGCCGACTTCCCCTATAGCCAGGGGGATGCTTAATCCCCCCCTCCACCCCAGGCCCCACCCCACCTCTTCCCACCCTGTCCCACCTCTTCCCCACCTCCTCCCCCGAGCGCGCCCCATCCCCACTCTTCCCCCTCCCTCCTGGTGAGCTTCCTACATGCCGCAAAACAGCTGTTCGCAGTGGGCGGGAGGCACTGAGAAGGAGGGGGAGGAGTGGCAGCACCCGCTAATTTTTCTCTGTGGGTTCTCCAGCCCTGGAGACCCATGGAGTCAGTGCCTATGGGGGCACCCCACCCCTGCCCCCAACTCAGCCCTGACCCCAACCCAGCTCCGGCCTGGACCTGCTGCAGATGGGGGAGAGGCACCTCTCCTTGCCCCCAGCCCAGGTGCTGCTGCAGGGAGAGAGAGCTGGGCAGAGTCCTCTCTCCTCACCGTAGCCCCAGAGCACCCTCCTGCACCCCAAACCCCTCATCCCCAGCCCCACACCCCCAGCTGGAGCCCTCACCCTATGCACTCCAATACTCTGCCCCAGCCGTGAGATCCTCATCCCCGGCTCCTCCCCAGAGCCCGCACCCCAGATGGAGCCCTCACCCCCCCCCACCCCAACCCTCTGCCTAGCCCTGAGATCCTCATCCCCGGCCCCTCCCCAGAGCCTGCATCCCCAGCCAGAGCCCTCACACCCCTGCGTCCCAACCCTCTGGCTGAGCCCTGAGCCCCCGCACACTCCGAAGCCCTCGGCCCCACCCCCACCACATGAATTTTGTTATGTGCATCAATATGAAGGTGATGTGTCACACATCATCTCCATATTGGCGCACATAACAATATTCATTCCGCACATGGATGGGAAAAATTAGAGGGAACACTGAAGAGGACACAGGGATTTATAGACCAGACAACCTGAAATCAATACCTGGAAAGATACTGGAGCAAATTATTAAAGAAGAAAAAATTATATCAAACCAACCTAATTTCCTTCAATAGGGTTACTCATGGACTAGTGGATGCGGGGAAGCAGTAGACATGATATACCCTGATTTTTAGTAAGGCTTTTGATACAGTCCCTCATGATATTCTCATAACAAACTAGGGAAATGTGGTCTAGATGAATTTACTATAAGGTGGGTGCACAACTGGTTGAAAGACCGTACTCAGAGAATAATTATCTGTGGTTCGCTGTGAAACTGGGAGGGTGTATCTAGTGGGGTCCTGCAGGGGTCAGTCTTGGTGTCTGGTACTATTCAATATTTAAATGAATGACTTGGATAATGGAGTGGAAAGGATGCTTATAAAATTTGCAGATGACACCAAGCTGAGAGGGGTTGCAAGCACTTTGGAGGCCAGGATTAGAATTCAAAATGACCTCGACAAATCAGAGAATTGGTTTGAAATCTACAAAATGAAATTTAATAAAGACAAGTGCAAAGTTCTACACTTTGGAAGCAAAAATCAACTGCAGGACTACAAAATGGGGAATAAGCGACTTGGCGGGAGTACTGCTGAAAAGGATCTTGGGGTTATAGTGGATTACAAATAGAATGAGTGAACAAAGTGATGCAGTTGCAGAAGGCAAATATTATTCTAGGTACATTACCAAGAATGTCTTGTATAAGACACAGGAGGTAATTATCCCACTCTGCTCAGCACTGGTGAGGCCTCAGCTGGATACTGTGTCCAGTGCTGGGTGCCTCACTCTAGGAAAGATGTGGACAAATTGGAGAGAGTCCAGAGGAGAGCAACCAAAATGCCACAAGGTTTAGAAACCCTGTTTAGTCTTGAGAAAAGAAAACTATGGGGGGTTCTGATAACAGTCTTCAAATATGTTGAGGTCTGTTATAAAGAGGCCAGTGATCAATTGTTCTCCAGGTCCACTGAAGGTAGGACAAGATGTAATGGGCTTAATTGGCAGCAAGGGAGATTTAGGTTAGATAGTAGGGAAAACTTTCTAGTCATAAGGATAGGTAAGCTCTGGAACAGGCTTCCAAGGGAGGTTGGGGAATCCCATTACAGGAGGTTTCTGAGATCAAGTTGGACAAACATCTGTCAGGAAGGTCTAGGTTTACCTGGTCCTGCATCTGCACAAGGGGCTGGACTTGATGACCTCTCAAGGTCCCCTCCAGCCCTACATTTCTCTGATTCTCTTAAAAGGGCTGATCTCCAGGGGATGGGCAGAAGTGTGTTGTCTTTGGAGCGCTTTCAGCTTTGGAATTAACTTCCTCCGACACTCTGCCAAGGTGCAAGTGTGGAAACAATTAGGAAGCAGTGCAAGATGCGTTTATTTGCTCTGTCTTTTTCTTATGTGGGCCTGCAGCCAGATAGCATTTGCCCTGCTAGTGGGTGAGGGTGCAGAAGGAACAGCTGCTGATTTATGTCAGCGGTTGGCATCAATTCACTTTAATCTCTCAGCCACGCCCAGGTAACACAGCAACGGGCACAATATAAATCAGAAGAGCACCCAAGTTCCCTTAAATAGGTGGATGAGGGCTCACAGAGCAAACATTCCACACACCCCACCGGTATGGGATGGGATCGCCACATGTCACATGGTACTACAGCCCTGGCGGCTGACAGGGACACAGTGTCACTGAATGGGCAATTGATCTTCGAGTTTGAGCAGACATAGCCATTCTCTGTGGATGGGCGAGGTCTCCATTGCTCTGGCTTGCATTGTAAACGTAGTTGGTGCCTGTGGCTTTTCCTTTTCTAGGTCAGTTTTCTACTGTCATTTTGTCCTATGTTGGGATGGGGTGATCAGATGCAGAATCCAGATGGAGGCGTTCTTATTGCTGCTAAAGTGCTGGGCCTTGTCGCCCGCTTAGCTCCTCCTTTCTTGGGATGTAACTGGCCTGCTGGGGACTCGGCCTTGACACGTCACTGCAGAACACTCGCTTTTCCTGCTGTGAGACTTGGCAGCCATGAGGAGACCAAGCCACCCCCTCACTACGGGGCCACGGGTGGGGGCACCTGCTGGCTTTTCTCAGGCTGATTGGGATCCCCTGCTTCTGGGCTCTGACTGCAATTTCACAGCTGCTAATGACTGATCTTCCTTTTCTTTGTCGCAGCCTCTCCAGTAACTGTGTGGGGGACACTGGCTCTGTAGCCTTGGCCGAAGCTCTGAGAGTGAATCACAGTCTCACAACCCTGGAGTAAGTCCCTTGCCATTCGAGTGCCCAGAGCACCCCATACGCATTGTTCTTCGCTGCCAAGGGGCACTTGTTAATGCTCCACTGCTCAGCTCCCCCAAGGGCAGTGTCATGTGATCCAGAGTGATCTGGGGTTGCCTCCTACCCTATCCTTGTCTGTTTCCCCAACTCATGTCCATGGAAAGCAGTAGGGGCCTTTGTGGGGAAGGGACCGGTAGGTTCCTTTGGGGAAATTTCCCTTTGACGAACTGCAGGACTGAGGGGAATGGCCAGGGGCGTGATGGCCTCATGGCTACTGCACAGCAGCATTTTCTGCAGGGGATCAGTTCCAGGGGGTCTCCCTGGAAGTCTTGGTAGCTTCAGAGGAGGGTAGTAGCAGGACGAGTCAGCAAACAAGACAGGAGGACTGGGGGTGGCATAAGGAGCCTCGGCATCCCCCGTTGCAACCAGCCCTCATCTGTTGTGCTCAGAGTTATTTCCCTGCTAGAGGTTTGGTGGCCTGTAGGAAATGAGTTGCTGTCCACTGTCTGCTTCCTTGTGGGCTCCATCACAAAACTTCTCCACCCTGGTTAGGAGTCTCAGCAGAGGGGCCGCAGACTGACTCGCCTTAGAAACCAAGCAGCCCTCTGCCCCGACGGACGTGTTCCTTCCTGCTCAGGAGTGGGGCAGGGTAACCTGGCACCATGGGCAGGGCGCCTGCTGCTCTTGTCTGTACTGTCCCTGTCCCGGGGGCAAATGGAATACTTTTGTCTTCTCAGTCTGGCACCTTTCACTGGGAGCACATGCCCCTTCTGTGCCAAGAGGGAGACCTCAGCGCACACCTCCCTTCAGTGCAGCAGGGTGCACCCCTTCTCCCAGCTCCCCCAGGACTGCCTGCTGGGGCTCTGGCCGAACTTTCCCCACCTCTTTTCCTTTACACGCTCCCCATGTATGGCCCCACGCAGTCCAGGGGCCTCCTAGCCAGCCGCCTCTTGAGGGGGGTCTGTCAGTCCCAGAAGAGGAAGCTCGACAGGCATGTGCCCTGCACCTACAGTGCCTATTTTTTGGCCTCTACCTACCTCCTTTCTCCAAGATGAGCTCCTCTGGGTGGCATCCACTGTCTCTTGGGGCTCCTTTGGGGAGCCGGGGGCATTGTCTGGTGCTCTCTGCTTGGTGTCCCCAGACACCTCATTCTGAACCTGTGACCCTAACTCCTCCTCCTGTTTTATCATTTGGTGTCCCCACTGCTTAGCTGATTGCTGGCTCTTTGGCCCCTCCTCCATTGGTGTGGGAGGGGCTTTTGGTCTTGCCGGGCTCTGCTGACCTGTCCAGGATTTCCAACAGGCCGGCACATTTTGCCATGATGAATTCACTCTTAATCACATAAGGTGAACGTATCCAGTGCTGGGCTGGTACGAACGCCCACCGTGTCGTTCCTGTGGTGACTCTCTGCTGTATCTCTTTGTATTTTAGCCTCCAGAGCAATTCGATCAGTAACACGGGGGTCACGGCGCTGATAGGAGCGCTGCGCTCCAACCGGGGCCTCATCAGCCTCAAGTAAGTCTTGGTCTCAGCTCTTCCCAACGCTGCCCCGCTCAGATCGCGAACACGTACACTGGCTGGCCAGCCATCTGGCCAGAGCTGCCACGTGTTGTCACCACAAGAATTGCGTCATTCGGCGCAGCACCTCCCAGGTCTCTCTGGCAGTAACAGGGCCGGCTCTAGGTACCAGTGTTCCAAGCATGTGCTTGGGGCGGCACTTTTCAAGGGGCGGCATTCTGGTCTTTTTTTTTTTTTTGCTTGGGGGCGGCAAAAAACCTGGAGCTGGTCCTGGGCAGTAATCTTGTTTTTTGCACTAGTACAGCCTGAGTTCCTTGCTACTGAAGCAGGGCCCCCCACCCTGCAGCTCCTGGGCGAATGGGACCAGTATGGGGGAGAGGGGGGACAGGCCCAGGGGGGCAACAGGTTTGCACCCAGCTCATTGGTTTGGATCTTAATTTGGTGGGTGTCGCCTCTTCATACAGCTGAGCTTCTCTTCTAACTCCTTGTGAAATGTATCAGCTCAGCTGTGCTTTTCCTAATCCTGCTGCTAGCAGTGAAACATTGCAAGCCAAAGAAGGTAAATGTGTGTGTGTGTGTGTGTGTGTGTGTGAGTGTGAGTCACCTTGGCCTAGGGTTACCATATTTCAGGTTCTCAAAAAGAGGACACTGCCGGGTGGCGTGGGGTGGGAGAGAGCTGGAGGGGATATTTGGGGGGTGCTGGAAGGTGTGTGTGTGTGTGTGTACTGGGACAGGAGTGGGTATTTGGGGGGTGCTGGAAGAGTATGTATTGGGACAGGAGAGGGCATTTAGGGGGTGCTGGAGGGAGTATTTGGAGGGTTCTGGAGGGGTGTGTGTGTGTGTACTGGGACAGGAGGATGCTGGAGGGGTGTATGCAAATTGGGACAGGAGGGGGTATTTGGGGGGTGCTGGAGGGGTGTATGCATATTGGGACAGGAGAGGGCATTTAGGGGGTGCTGGAGAGGGAGTATTTGGGGAGTGTTGGAGGGGGTACCTGTGGCCTCACTCTTGAGGGGGGCAGTGTCGCTCCCTGTCATGGTGGCAGGGCAGCTGGTGCAGACCCGGGACACAGCGCCAGCCCGTCCATCAGTGCCTCCATGCGGGGCTTTCCCCCACCCCAGGGCTGGGAGCTGGGGCCTGGGTGGGTGGGATCTGGCAGCTCCCGCTACAGGGAAGGACCAATCAGCTGCAGTTGCAAGGACCAATCAGACGTGGAGCCAGCTCTTTCTGAGCTGCAACGTCTGCTTGAAAACTCATGGATGTTGCCTCTGATTTGAAAAATCCACCTGGACAGAGGGTGGAGGATCAAAAGAGAGGCAGTGTCCAGGGAAACCCAGACGTATGGTAACCCTCCCTTGGCCAATACACTTAACATTTTCCAAAACACCCACGTGCAACTGAGGAGCTGGACAGCTCAGGGGACTGGGATGATTTAGTAGCTTCCATCTGTAGGTCAGTTCCAGTCCAGCCCAGCCTGCTCCCCGATGGCTAGTGAGGGAAATGGGTTTGCTGGGTCTTAGTCCGTTTCATTGGATGTTTGTCTAAGAGCTCTGCTCTTGGCATTATTTGGGGTCGTTCTCTGGCCTGCGTTACACAGGAGGTCAGACTAGCTGCTCACAATGGTCTCTGCTGGCCTTGGAGTCTATGAAGAGTAGACAGAAACCAGGGCCACTATTGGTGCTACTGGACCCCCTCGTTTCTGCCAGGCATGAACTCCTGCAGGGGGTGGCTCAGAGGTGAGGCACGTTGGTAGCAGGGATAGGTGGGGCGCATGCCCTGCTCCAGTTCTGGGGATAAATACAGGCCATCAGTCCAATGCTAAACTCACTTACAAAGGAGAGAGAGAGAGAGATTTAACAAAATTAGGGAGGGAGTTTTTTCAGAATCCCCAGCAAAGAGCACTGGACTGTGTTGCCAAACTCTGTGAGTTTGAAGTAAGATGTCTGTGAACACTCTGGGCAAACATCCAAAGCAGAATGACATGTTCCTATTGTTACATTTAGAAAGTACAATGTGACAGACTGAAACCTGGGCTATTTATTTCCTGCTGCGATGTTATGTGTAACTGATCACAATGCATTTCTCCCCCTCTTAAAAAAACAAATGAAATAGGCTAAATCACAAAGGTGCTTTTTCTAAAGTAGATTTTCCTGCACAGATCAGACACCAATGGAGACACAAATCTTTAAGATCGTTCACTGATTATTGCCATAGAAAGGACCATAAGGCCTGCAGGGGCTGCTTGGTAACAGATGAAGACCCACTAAGCCTCTTCCAGAAATGCTGCCATGAGTTCCCACGTGCATTCTGTTCCTAGCCGGCGTGGCTGATTGCTTCCACTGAATACAAAGGCCATTACTGGAGTTTTTTTTCCAGAACATTCCATTTTAAGTTACAAGAATACAAACAAAATGAGAAGGAATGAAAAATTCTAGCAAAAGTGAGCCAATGCTGAGAGCCTTTGCAGTCTGCTCCCGATGGCTTTGGTTCTCCAGAATATTTCAGGCCACTTGGGTCCCACAACAGGTGTGCTAAGAACCTTTATGGGGACTACTGTGGCTTGGAAAGGCAGAGCTGCACTGCAGCCTCCTGCTGAAGGATACTGCCCTAGTAGCAGTTGCTTGAGGGGTTTTGTCTGCGAGGTTGGCAGAGATCATAGAGAGGCACTGGGGAGCACACATTGATGCTGCATGTACCATGGCTCCTGATTTGGAGATGCAGCGATTGTTACCCCTGGCCACACCGCTTCCCACCCAGCCACTTCCCCTTTACGGGCCACAGCACCTCTGAGCATGCTATCATTACTCTCCAGGGACTCTGCCCACTCCCTGCATCCTTCCCACGGCTACCCCCACGCAGATACAGGAAACATCTGGCCCTGTGCTGTGCAATCTCTGTGCCCAGCAGAAACCCTGAGGCAATGAGTATGGTGTATATTCGGGGGAGGTGGGGAAAAATAAAAATCTCCTTCTGCTGAATAGCCCAGCCCAAACTCAGCCGCTCCTTTGCTGCTGCTCCCCGCCTTGAGGATAAACCAATGGCACTGGAGTAACACGCTGTGTCCGAGGCACGGGGCAGGGAGTCTGTGAGTCATTCCCAAAGTGAGATAGAAATTCTAATCACCTCTGACTTGGGGAGCTTGCAATGACTGGGGGGAGCAGCCGCATGACCTGGGGAGGGTCATGGGAACAGTGCAAGAGGAAAACCAGGGGCTGGACTAGAAGTTCATCACTGATTATTCCAGTCTGGTATTTTGCTCTGTCCCCTAATGGGGGGATTTTTGCCAGCCTACAAAGAGCAGGGCCTGGCGTAGGGAGGCTGTGCATGGGGTGAAGGGAGAGGGAGGGGCGTTGTTCAGGGGTATCCTTTTTCTGCCTGAGACACGTGTGTGACTGCAGCAGCTGCTCATGCATCGAACATTCACAGGCACGTGCCAGGCGGCCTCGCCCTCCCACATCTGCCCTGGAGAGCTCTCGCCTAGATGCTACCGCCCCCTGCTGGCCCAGCCACCAGGTGGTTTGTCTTGTTTGCCCTAAAATACAAAAAGTGCCCAAAAGAGAATGAGAAATGTCCTGAGCTGTTCCCACTCCTCGCCCTTGAAGGAGGGAATCCCAGTGACCTGTCCCATCTCTTGTCTTTTCCTAGCCTTCGGGAGAATTCCATCGGCCAAGAGGGGGCGCCGGAGATAGCCAACGCTCTGCGCGCTAACTGCACGCTGAGGAACCTAGAGTAAGTCAGCCGGCTTTCGAAGTCCAAATCCTCTCCCCAGCTTACGCTGTGTGCTCAGCACCAGTACTGCCCTCAGGCAGGTGCAGGGGGCTGCTCCTGTGCGGGAGGACAGGTTGGTGGAATACCCGTGGCCAAGGGTGTGTCCCTTGGGGCAATGGGGAGCACTCAGGCTGGGTATCAGGTGAGTCTGGCCAAGGAGAAGGCGTGACAAGGAGCAGCGCTGTGATGGCTCATCGGGGTGGGGTGGATTAGCCCTTTCTAGGTCCAAATCTCTGGAGCCATATCATCACCTCCATTGTTTTCCCTTTGAGGGAAGGGGTTTGCCCCAAACCAGCATCCTCCCGCCTCCCTCCAGCTCTGCAGACGTTCCTCCATCTGCACGCTGCGTCTCTGAGCTTCTGCTGCTTTGTGGGGTGCTGTACTTGGGTGGAGAGTAGTCAGGGCAAGACAGCTGCTCTCCACAGCACCATCCCCCCCTCCAGGGCCAGCATCAACTTCTGTAGACTCCAGGTCTGCCCTGGCAGGTCCTCCTGGAGGGTTTGTTTGGGCCCAAACACAGGTGAGCAGGCCATGAGGGGCAGGAGGCTGGGGAGTGTGGGGGAGGGTGAGAGTTTTCCAATGGCAAACCCCACCCACACGATACTCCAGGAGCTCTGTTAGTTTAAGCTCCTGGGGTTTCTCGCTAGGCATGATCTAGCCTGATGAGCCTGTGGTTCACGTATGTAAGCAGACCGAAAGAACTTGTGCTTGGCTTAATCATTTTGTAACTTGGAGTTCTGTGGAAAGCAGAATGTAGAATAACCAGCGTGGACCTGACTAATGATCCCTCTGGAGCACTTTGCCTCGGCAGATAAGACAGCGATCCATCCAGTGAAGTTACCAATGAGTGCTTGAGAAGAAGACATAAGCCAGTGTGGAATATCCTGCCATTGGGGGCAGGGGAAGAAGGGGTAGAATCTTCCTTACTCCAGCTAATGGTTAGCAAATGCCCTGAATTATGAGGATGGAGCAAGCCCTTGTAATATTATCCTGACTAGTACCAGTGCAGACACTCTTCTTGTTCCTAAAAATGTTTAGTTCCATTTTGAAACCTTGAAGGTATTTGCCTCCATGTCCTGCAGCAGTGAGTTCCACAGATTAATCACCCATTACAGTGTAAAAACCATATGTATTTCCTTTTTTCTGTTTCTCATTAATTGCCTTTTAATGTCATCCTATTGTCTCTTCCCTTCCTCCCCCCCCCGCCTTGCACTTGTCTCACTGCACTTCAACCCACCAGAGGCAGGTGTAATGCATCACACCATGTTTAACTCATTTCTCTGTACTTTGCCTCTAGCCTAGCGGCGAATCTGTTGTATGATGAAGGCGTCAAGGCCATTGCACTGGCGATGAGAGAGAACCAGGCGCTCATGTCCCTGCAGTGAGTTTCACCTTGGCCCTGATTTTTGGTTCCTTCTCCTTAGCTGCTCTGTCCCTGCAGTGAGTGAACAGCCTGCAACATCCTTCATGGGCCTCAGTCCCTCTCAGCATGGCACAGCTGAGGGGAGAGGGGAGGGCTCCATGCACAATGGCATCAGCAGCAGAATTCCATCGTCATGGGCAGCACTGTACAGTCTGCATCTAGCTCACTGGTTCGGATCCAGCCCAGGCCAGTAGAGGCTGAAAACTGTTACTTTATGATTTTGCCGTGTTGGTCCTAGGATATTAGAGAGACAGGGTGGGGGAGGTCACATATTTTATTGGACCAATTTCTGTTGGTGAGAGTGACAAGCCTTCAATCTACACAGAACTCTTCTTCAGGGTGGGAAAGATACTCAGAGCCAAATACAAGGTGGAACAGATAGTTTAGCATAAATAGTTTCCATGTATTCTTAGAGACCATTCAGAGGTGAAGTGGCCTGTTAACACCGCTGCAATCATGACAAAAATGTGGGGTTACTTGGTTACAGATTGTTGTAATGAGCCATAAATCCATTAATGACTGCTTCCTGGAGCAGCTAGTCCTGGAACCCACAAGGGGGAGGCAATTCTTGTTTTAGTCCTAAATGGAGCACAGGATCTGTCCAAGAAGTGAATATAGCTAAGCTGTTCAGTAATAGCGACCATAATGTAATTAAATTTTACATTCCTATAAGGGGGAAAAAACCAAAGAAACCCTCCACAATAGCATATAACTTCAAAAAGGGACACTACAAAAATGAGGAAGCTAGTTAACTGGAAATTAAAAGGAACAGTCAAAAGACTGAAATGCCTGCAAACTGCATGGAAACTTTTGAAAAACACCATAACGGAGGCTCAAACTAAATGTGTACCCCAAATAAAAAAAAAGACCAAAAAATGCCCTCATAGCTGAACAACAGAGTAAGAGGTGGTTACAGACAAAAAGACATCCTTTAAAAATTGGAAGTAAAATCCTACTGGGGAAAATAGAAAGGTGAATAAACTCTGACAAGCCAAGTGTAAAACTATAATCAGGCAGTCCAAACAAGAATTTGAAGATCAACTAGGAAAAGACACAAAAACTAACAGCAAAAAAATTGAGTGCATTAGAAGTAGGAAGCCGAACAATCAGAGGGGCCACTGGATAATCGAAGTGCTACTGGAGCACCTAAAAGAGATGAGGCCATTGCAGAGAAGCTAAATGAATTCTTTGCATCAGTCTTCACTGCAGAAGATGTGAGGGAAATTCCTACACCTGACCCATTCTTTTCAGATGACAAATCTGAGGAACTGTCTCAGATTGAGGTGTCATTAGAGGAGATTTTGGAACAAATGGGTCAATTAAACAGTAATAAGCCACCAGGACCAGATGGTATCACTCAAGAGTTCTGAAGGAACTCAGATATGAAATTGCAGAACTAACAACTGTGATATGTAACCTATCGCTTAAATCAGCCTCTGTACCAGGTGACTGGAAGATAGCTAACGTGATGCCAATTTTTAAAAAGGTTCCAGAGGTGATCCTGGCAATAAGCTGATAAACGTAACTTCAGTACCAGGCAAATTGGTTGGAACTTTAGTAAAGAACAGAATTATCAGACACATAGAAAAACACAATATATTGGGGAAGAGCAACATAGTTTTTGTAAATGGTGAATAGGAGTCGACATCCCAGGCCCCTTCCACTGCTGGCAAAGGTTGAATGGCCCTAGGCGCTGAACCCCTCTCTCACCTGGAGCCTGTCCTCTCTCTCCAGCACTGTCAGGCTGGCAACTTTCACCAGCCCTTCAACCATGTCATTTTTTAAGGCTGAAGAGCCATATGTGCCACAATTCCTCTGGCCCTTTTATTAATGTCTGATTAATCAAAGCTACCACGTTACCAATGGATTGTGCACAGTAGTGTGAGGGATGGATTTGCATAGCGGTGTTTGGAAGCCTCAGATATGCGGGTTTACAGAATTACAAACTAGATACGTACCCCCCTGGAGATCACAGCCCTTCACCTTCCACCACAATGCTGCTACTTCTGGGGTCAAAGGCAACAGCTGTTCAGCACTGTCCAAGGCTGATAAGCGACAGTTATGGGCAGGATGTGCAGATGGCTATTGTGTCTGGTACAAACCCAGGGGGGATTTCATTGGGTGGGATGCAGCTACTCCAGAACAGCCTGCGGAGAGGTATCCCCTCTTCCCGCTGGTCCCCTGATGAGACGGGTCCGTTCCCCTTGTCCGGGGGCTTCTCCCTGTTTGCAGAGTCCCGCCCCACCCCACAGTGGTAATCCTTCACCGCTCACTCTCTTTGCATAGCCTGCAGTGGAACTTCATCCAGTCGAAGGCGGCCAAGGCGCTGGCCCAAGCACTACACTCCAACACAAGCCTGACCAGCCTCGAGTAAGTGACGATGCAGCACGTCTCCCTGCCTGGCTGCATTGCTGGCTCAGGGTCCGAGGGTGCCAGGGCGGGGGGAGTTAGGAGTTTGCGGGGGGGGAGTTAGGAGTTTGCGCTGGAGGAGCAGATCAGGACCCCCTAACTTCCCCCCAGCAATGCCAAAGCCCTGCGCCGTGGGAGCATCGCAGAGCTGTCTCAGGGAGCACGTCCTGCTTGGCTCAGTGACTCGCTGGCAGGGACCACATGTGGCATGTGTGGCTGAGCTGTGGACTGGGGGAGGACAGGAGGCCAAGCAGGAATGGGGCAAGCAAGAAGGACCAGCCCTTCGTGGGCTCAGCTGTCTGCTGAAGAAGATTCTCTGGGGGCTCTTGCGCCTTCGCTCCCCCAGCAAAGGAGGTTCTGTTCAGGACATGCACCCATCTCGCTGTGTCCTAGTCACTTACCTCTGACCGGCCGGAGCCAGCAGGGGACCCTGCCGAGCACACTCTAGACTAGTGGTTCCCCAGCTCGCTTGTTCTGCAGGTCCCTCCAGGGACCCACTCCCTCCCTAAACCAGCTCCTCTCACCCCCAGGTCTCCCCTCCTGGAGCATCACCCCCCCCACACACACAATAAACCGCTTGTGACCCACGCAGTCAGGGTCCTGCAGCATCCCCCTTCGTGGCCACTCGGCCCTGCTCGGTGTTCTGGCTGGGGAGGCGGCGGGGTGCTGCCACCATCCCTTGGGTGGTGGAGGAAAGGGTCGTAATGCCACAATGTTGCATCAAGGAGGGGGGATACTTGCATATACAGACAGAGCCCCTAATATCTGGACAGCTGGTCACCCTGTATTGGATATTTTTGTTGCCTTATATCTCACTGCCTGGCACCCTCTGAATTTCACCCTATTGAGAGAGATCTGTTCATTGCCCCTCTGGGCTCCATCGTCTCTGTCTCCAGGGCCAGAAGGGATGGGATCAACTAGGCTGACTTCCTGTATCCCACAGGCCAGAGACCTGCCCCACAATAATTCCCAGAGCAGAGCTTTTAGCAAGACAACCGATCTTGATATAAAAATGGCTAATGACGGAGAATTCACCACAGCCCTTGGTCAGTTGTCCCAGTGGCTAATTAACCTCACTTAAAAATGTACACCTGATTTCCAAGTGGCTGGACCCCGTCACTGGGCAGTTCCATGGACTAACAGCACCCCCCCATCTCGCCATGGGGCAGTGGTCCACGTGGGTCGCCTGGAAGCCGCAGCATTTTGGGGCATACAACTCAGGGGAGCCAGCTTGTGTCCCGACCCCGTGAGGAGCCATTAACCCTCGCCCGCGTGACCCTTTCCCCATGTATGTACTCTAGGGGACAAGGGCCATATATGCCGTCACGTGGCACATGTTGTGTTTCAGTTTGCAGGAGAACGCTATTGGCGATGAAGGCATGATCGCCCTCGCTGCTGCTCTGAAGGTGAACACCACTCTCACCACCCTCTGGTAAGTGTCCACATGGGGGGGAGGGAATATGCCCCATATGTGAAATGTGTAGTGGTGTGCAGAGCAGGGGCACTCAGCCTGCTGGCCAATCTGGTCCAAGACCCTCCAGGCAAACGGAACCTGCTGCTCCCCAGCCCCTTGTAGTCCTCCAATTGCTGGACTTTTGGAGAGTTTGGTAACTAGACAGTTGCACCTGTCCCGCTTGGTAAGGGCTCCCAGTCTGACTAGTGAGCGCGGGCTCCCTAAAGGGGGCGGCACTAGTGCCTGAACTGTATCCCCACCCCTGTGCTGCCCCTTCTTCCTGAGCTCCCGCCCTGCCTCTTTCTCCCAAGACCCCACGCCCTGCTCACGCCTCTCTGTCCCCTTCCTCACATCGCTCGCCCTTGCAGCTAATAAAAAGTGACGGGGCCCTGCCCTCTGGTCACCATGCTGTATGGGGATGCACGGCTGGTCGAGGCAGGCAGGCCAGGTCGTAGAGTGACATTAGATCCTGCTCATTAGAATGGCAGTAATGCATGTGCTAGGCTGAGCTGGGAGATGTGTTGTGAATGGGGAAGGGGAGGGTGGCCACGGGAAGGCAAAGGGGAGCTATTCCCTGGGGGTGAATAGTCGAGCCATGTTTCCTGGGGGCTGAGACCATTAGAAATCTCACTCTTCTGTTGTCGTTGGATTGTCACAGGCAGAGAGACAGTGGGAGTTTAGCTGGGCCTGACCCAGGTGATGTGCCAGAGCTAATAAAGTCTGCCTCAGGGTCCTACGGGAAGGGGGGCTCCCGCAGGCTGCTAATTCATTGGACAGGAGTCCTTTGCTGCTAGGGGATGGCTATAGGTACCTGTCACACTGCACTTCAGCACCATGTCCTGCAGAGAGCCAGCCGACTGCCCGACAGCAGGGAGCCAGCCCTGCTTTGTAGTCAATTAGCTCACAGAGACTGTTGTGTCTGTCTGTGCTGGACTCCATTCACAGCTTCCTTTTGTTTATTTGCGAGTCACTCGGTGGGGCGAGTGTTTTAATAGAGAATGTGCTGCCATCTGCCCAGCTCATCAATACATCTTTGGCTGGATCAATGCCCTCACGTCAGACCCCGTCTCCTCAGGCTGCCACGCTCCTCCGCAGGATGAACGTGCTCGGAGAAGAACGGTGTTGGCTTGTGAAGCTGGCCCCGGCAGCCTGGGTTTCTTGGGCTCCGGTTTGCCAGCTCAGTATAACGCGCATCTGTCGGGTGCAGGCCAGCTGGGATAGCTAGCTATGAATTGCACTGAATGTTCCTTGTTCTCTTGCAGCCTCCAGGTGGCTTCGATCGGGGTGAGCGGGGCAAAAGCCCTGGCGGAGGCCCTAGTTGTTAACAGAACCCTCACAACTCTGGAGTAAGTGTTCCCCAGCTGCGCCCCTTCTCCAAGCAGTCCCTGCGACTTACCTCTCCTTGGGCCCCTCTGGGAGACAAATTCATCAGCTCTGTAGCACATCCAGTCTCCAACAGCTCATTCGGCTGGAAATCCTTTGGGAGCCCTCAGTTCCAGCATGTCTAAGCCCCAGGCCAGCTGACATGTGCTCTGTGTCCCCCACTGTCCCTCAACCTGCCTTCTGTGGTTGTATGGAATCCCTGTATTAGCCTTCGGCGCTCTTTGTCCTAATTGCACTTCTGTATTTCCTGGCTTCCCTGCAGCTTAAGAGGAAACTCCATCGGTGTGGCTGGAGCCAAAGCTATGGCCAACGCGCTGAAGGTTAACCGCAGTCTCCGCGTTCTGAAGTAAGTAGCTGCCATGCTGGAGCAAACACTAAAAAAACGCCCTGCATTCCAAAGCTACAGTAAAAGGCTGGAAAGGTGGCAAAGTCCAGCATTCAAAAGTTAGGAAGTGCCAGAATGAAGGTTCCTTGTGCAATCTTAATTTGGCTTCCTTGTGCACATGCATCGTGATACAGGCTTTAATTACCTGATCACATACTATTTTTTCCCCCACTGGACCCCTGCCTCATTCAGTGCATCCGATCTAATCCCCTCAATCTGTCTTGGAAATGGCTGAACTGCGTTTGCTGAAATGTTCCAAACAAATTCAGCCTGAGGCTGATGCCCAGCATGGGAAATTTCAATCCAAATGGTCAAAGTTATAATTGAAAATGGAGTCTTATAATGGAAAGTGTCAGGCAACCTTAACTAGAGGCATCGCCACCAGCACTGTCTACAATGAGTCACCAAAATGCTTCCAAACGGTCATGTATCTTTTCTGTATCTAAACAGCAGCTTGGGCCCTAACTGGCTTCCTTTGATCTGACTGCTAGTGATAGATTGTTCTATCACACTTCATCATCAAAGGAGCAGCTGTGATGTCACACTCACTGGAGTGTGACGTCATTGTTACTAACCCTCTATTGTGACGTGGACGGAATCAGGCAGGGAGAAGAGGCCAGCTATGAAGGAAGAAATCCAAGTCAATACACAAATTCCAGTATGGATAAAAATAGAGAGTTTAATCGATAAAATAAATCAGACTTTTAAAATTTTTAAATTAAATACGGGTTTATTTTTAACAATAAACCTATTTAAAATTACATTTGAAATTACGAAAACAGGTGTTAAGGCCTAAACTTACTCTATTCTGTTAAAATCATTTAAAATTAAATACAAAAATATATTAAGCAGTATGTATTTGCTGCTGAAGTCTTTAAGAAAGCTAGATCACTGACCTGGTGAAAGACAGTGGCTAAGCAGCTGAAACCAGAGGCTGATGCAATGCTAAAGCGGCTTTGGATATCAGTTGCCTTTTTTTCAGGTGCAGAGAGAACATTTTCTTCATTTCAGTTTAGTCAACTAGTTTGGTTGAATGACTAGTTCATTCTAAGTTAAGAAAGTGATTGGACGTTAGAAAAGCGGGAAAACTTGTTTTCTTTTTCCAATCTATGAATAAAAATGACGAGCTCTGCTAGTTCTAAAATCTTGCAGGACTGACCAGAAACAATCAGTTCTGTTCATTAACTACAGATAATAGTTCAGATGTTTAATAAATCAATTTGTTTTAGTTGCAAAATGTTGATAATTTTTTTCTTATGTATCTAGCACATTAAAAGAGTTGTAATGGTACCAACCAATGAGACTCAAACATTCTTTAGGAAAATAACTAAAAAGCACAAATGAAAAACAAGGTTAAAATCAATGATTTAAATCAAGGTTTCCTGCTTGCTGACTGAAACCCATGAATACAACTTGTGTTTTGAATTGTTTTGATTTAAATCAGTCCACCCTGACAGACCTGCCCGATGCTTTCTCCAGGCCTCACTTCTTGACGAGTCTTTGTCTCCCCTTCAGCCTCCAGGAGAACTCCTTAGGCATGGATGGAGCTATCTGCATTGCCACAGCTCTGACCGGAAACCATGGCCTCACCTACGTCAAGTGAGTGGCAGCTGAGTGCCCAGTGCTTGCAGGCGTGGTTGGCAGATGGACGGAGACGTGGGGAAAGAGCGTGAACTCACCTGCCTCTGGGACCATGGCGACTGTGCAATAGTGTCCCTCTGTGGGCAGCATAAAGCGTCCCTTGTGAGACCCACTCCTCCACCCCAGACCTGCCCCAGGCTGCTGCCTCACAATGGAATGCCCAAACTCCACAGGAGGCGTGAAGCCCTGCCCCCAAGTCCCTGCCAAACACCACTGGGCTAATGGGGTCACAAAGGTGTGGAACCCTCCGGAAAGCCAAACCTTCTCCAGGACGCCCACAGGGCTGTGCTGTGCCAACCCCTGGGTCCCTCCAGCTCCCTCGTGGCCTGGGCTGACCTCCTCACTGGCTACTCCTTGGCAGTGTCCCCAACTATGCCCAGGCAGATGCTGGGCCACGGACTCCAGCCTCCCAGCTGATGGATGGACTCAGCGCCCAGAGCTGCCTTGGAATTGGGGGCAAGCTCCCCAGGCCAACTGGAGCTTGTGCCAGGCCCCTGGCGTCGGCAGTGGGCCTCTAGGGACAAGGAAGGGGCCCTGGCCTGAAAGTTCACGCAGCACGCGTGGGCTGAACGTTGTTTCTGGGCCGAGGCAGTGGGGGAGGGCGATTTTCCCTGGGCGGGCTGACTTGGGGGGCTGGAGGTGGGGGCGGAGGATGAGGAGCAGGAGGCTGAAGGCAGCAGAAGTGGGGAGCAGCGCTTTTCCTTCCCTGACCGTCCCTTGCTCCCGCTGGGCCCTTGTGCCTGCAGGACTGGACGACTTCTCCTGCCCTGTGGGAGCCCCAGCCATAGGCCCTTCACCTGCTGTTACGTCAGACACTCCTGCTTTTCCAAGCTGTCCCCCATCTGGTCCTGAGCCAAAGCCGGACGTGGTTTGGGCTGGTAACAAACGGGGCGCCATTTTGAAGAGGGTGCTGCTCTGCCTCTGTATGGCGTGAGCTTGCACACACCGCGTATGCGAGGTCATGCCAATGGAGACGGGGTCTCCCAGCCCCCTTGGGCATGTCTACACTGCACACTGAGCCCAGGCTCTGACTCAGGTTTAAGCCCAAGCACCTTCCATCCCCACACAGATCAGTCTGACTCAGGTCAGCAAGAGCTCAGGATCCGGGGCCCAGGACTGTGCGCGGGGTGTAGGGGTGGTCGAGCCCTGTCAGTTTGCAGTGTGGACTCAACCCACAGACCTGAGCCAGGAGGTCCTGCATGGTGGCCACGGAGCACGTCTGTGAGACCTGGCTCCAGCAATTGTCAGCCCAGGTTTACAATGCGGTGTGGGCATGGGGACACCGAGTCCCATGGCCCGGGGCTTAGTGCGCAGTGTGGCCATACCCCTGCCAGTCGGGCAGACCGTGCTGGGAACTAGTGCTGCTGTGCGCTCACTGAGGTCATGCCTGTCCCTTGTCCTCTCCCAGTCTGCAGGGGAATCGCATCGGCCAGTCCGGCGCCAAGGTGATCGCTGACGCCATCAGAACAAACTCTCCGCACTGCATTGTCGAGATGTGAGGGCCGGCTGCACCAGGAACGGCCAGCACGAGTCAGCAGCAGGCAGGGGATGGTGCAGAGACTCGCTTTAATGACAGCGCCGGGTCAACTCAGCTGGCGGGTTCCCCACATCAGAGCGTGGCAGCACAGGGAGCTGCTTTCCCAGCTCGACCCACACGGCCAATTGAAGTCTCCTGGGCCTGGAATGCCCCCGTGGACTCTGACTGGCTCAGAGTGCTGCGTGGGGTGATGGAGGCGCTCGCTCCAGCTGTGCTGAGGCCTAGGGGCACTAATGAAAGCTGCCGCTGAGGCTGCTCCTGCAGGTGTAGAAGGACGCGTCTCTCTTAGCAGCACCATTGTTCCAACAGCTGCCAGGCTTGAGGAATGAGCTTGCGGCAGCCATGACTGTTAAAAGGCAGGCGGTGGGGACGTGGATGGAAGGGACGCAGTGCCAGCAATTTAGTCCCACCTCACTTATCCCTGTAACCGAGAAACCCTCCTGCCCTGCTATTGCTGAGCCCGTCCCTCCAGGACAGAATGTCCCCACCTCACAGCCTGGTGTGTGTAGGGCCTGGTGCTGTGTGTACCTCGGTGTGTGAGCATGAGGCTCTCAATGCACAGGTAGACCCAGAGCTCCCACCACCGAGAGACCCCCCGCACAGCCAGCTGCTGAGAATTCTTTATACAGTTTGACTGGACTGCACGGAAACTCGCCAGGCAGCTGCTTCCCTCCTATCATTATCGCCCAGCCCTGCCGGCTGTAAGGCCATTTAATCCCATTGGGGTTGTACTTGGCAGGGCCACGCAAATCTCTGCTCCCGAGGTTCACCACATTCCCTGGAGTAAGCTCCAGGATGGTTGGTGTGTCCTGCTTTAGTGGGTCTCTAATGGGAAACCTCTCGCTTCCATCAGCTCATAGGGAGCTTTGGCTTGTGAGTACCTCCAGGCCTGTAGAATGAATAAACCACTGTGCTCATGCGGCATCTAACAGCGAGCGA